TTTTCACAAGCTTATTCTATATGAATTTTCTTCACATTTAACTAATATACTGCAATTTTTAGACAGTGTATTTTTTCAGCAGTATAAGCACTATCATTCAAAGACAGTTAATCAAGCTGCATGATATGAATATGAGTAGTATGAAAAATGTCAATTTTTACAGAATCTAGTTGATGTCTGCAAAAAGACTTTTCAATCTTTTATTACTCAGACTGACTTTATGAATTGTGATATTGTCTCATTCAATTCACAATCTATACTGCTTAAGCTAGATTCAAAGGTCTCTGACTACTCTGAGTTGCAAATATATGGAAAAGACTTCTTTTCACTGCAATCAAGCTGTTCAGATATTGCTTCATCACAGCTATTCTCACTCAAGACAATTGAGAAGCTACAACATCATATTCAAGTGACAAAGAAGACAATGCAAGATATGAAGAATACACTTGATTTCAAATCACCTCATCTGAGCAATCAATTGAACAAGATTTTCCAAGACAGTCTTGTTCAGACAGAATTTAATGCTATAAGAGAGAGTGAGATTGAGGGTTACTACCTTGCAATCAAACACTGCAGCACCAAAAATACATGTTGACAGATTCAAGTAGGAGGTATACTCACTGTCAGGGATGTGAATAGAAAGATCATGCAATGTAAAGAGGAGGAAGCAGAAAAAGAACATTATAAGGAAATCAAACATGTTGAGAGAGCTTTGAAGAAAAATACCACAGATCCAACTCAACAAGAGGTTAATGATATATATGAATGTCTCACAAATAATACAGCTACTACAGATGATATAGATAAATTAATTATCATAGATTAGCAGCGTGGTGATGAGATATTAATTTTTGAAGTTCTAATTATCCATATTTTTATCGTTACGCTGTTTTTATCGTTACGCTGTGGCGCACCCACATCAGGTGTGGGTGCGCGGAGGCACGATTAGTTAATAGGGGATGGAAGATTCTTCTGCCAACAAGAAAATCCAGAGCTGGCTGATTGACTGGTCGGGTGCCTGCTCGTCCCGGATTGACCTCCTTTTATTCTCCTTCATATATTTTATTTGCGATATGGGTAGGTAACGACGAGGGCTATGTAGTTATCTCTGTTCCTACAACTTGTTCAACTGGTTCCACAATTTAGACATGAGAAGATCTGCAACAACAATGACAATTAACGTCCTGCATGTCAAGCTCCCGGCCTCCACCACTTACCAGACCGTTGGGTTGTGACAGTTGAAGCAAAAAGAAGAGCAAGAGAGGGGGAATAAGCAAATCTCAAGCCACTCAGGTACGGGAACTCCGTCTTGAAAGACCCCATAGGTACCGTAAACCATAAAATCCTTTGCTTCAATTCTCGTTTCCCACCTGTGCGAAAGAAATATAGGGGGGAATGAATAAAAGAATGAAAGAGAGGAAATACAACGCTAAGGACCGGAGAATCCGCGTTGTTTTCCAACACTCTTCATTCTGTTTTTGTCAATCCTTGTCGACGCCGTAATTTTTCCGCGGCAGAATAAACTTGAAATTTGAAGACGATGACGATGGTAGTTTTTAATGGTTTTCAAAGGTTCTTAAGGTAAATTAGTTTAGGGAGCCTGAGTTGAATGATGGAAAATATATGTATCTACCTGGACTTTAGTAGTTTCTTTTTTTAATGGTAAACAGTTCGAGGAACAATAGAGCAAAAATGAGGGAATACAGCTAGTTGACTGTGGTTTTTGAAACATATCTCTTTATTATTTCCGAGGACCTTGCCGTAACCCTAATCCCTACCCCTAACCCCAATCCCAATCCTAATCTACCCGTAACCCTGGCATTGAGGGCAGTGAGGCTGAAGAGAGATGTATGAACTGCTACTATGTGTGGTGTAGTTAGTGATGTGCATAGTATATGTTGGTAGGTGTTTATTTAGATTGGATTTTAGAAACGTGGGGGCAACGTTTAAACCGCGTTCAACTGTAACTAACCCCTAAACGGTAATGCCAGAACACCTCAAGCTCATTGTCCTCGAAACAAAGGTGAATTTAGGAAATTACTCTTTTTTCTGTGCCTGATATGAGAAATGCCTGTTATTCTCCACATAGACTAGGTTCCTATAGACAGCTCCTGGACGCGAGGGCATGGCCGCCCCCGCATCCGTAGATATCGATGTCACCAGAACTCTTCTCATAGTCATAATCAGCAGCCATCTATGCGGGAGCTTATTAATTTAACATCTCGCCTTCAGGCGCCATCGTCAGATAAACCCCTCCTTTTAATACTAATAAAGGGCACCTAGGTGATTAATAGGGGTGTATAGTTACATAGGTAACTAGTTAGTTATTCCCCAGAATGACAAATCTGTTAAGATTCCGCCCCTTGCAACGCATGTGGATACATTTAGACACAACACACTGTCTCCAGGCAAGCTTTATTTGGCAACCTATGGAGCACTTTGGAATTATGCACAGTACGTTTTTGCTATACAATGCCGCTTCCATTTTAGCTGCCTAACAATACACACACTATCAAACTATTAATTTACAGATTCGTCAAACCACCCAGCAGAGGTGATGTCGAATGAGACGGCGAAGAGCAGCCCATATAGACTTGTATATTGTGGCTGACCATGCATTGGCATCTGAATTCCGTCAATCTTTGGGCCTCCTCAACCAGCTGGACTTTGCATATCCACTTCTTTTCAGTCCAGCCTGTGGTGTATATACGTACATATGCAACGTACACTTACCGATTTACAAGACAGGTTTCCTTGAGAAACGAGAGGGTTTGGCTCCATTTTGAATGCTAGCAACAGTTGGCGACGACCGCATTTGCGTTCACTCTTAGAATTTCTTCATCTTTCTTCTGTCTAAAGTGAAACCAAAAGAATATAGATGGGGGGTTATGTTGTGGTATTTTTCAGCCCTTCTAGTTGGAGTACTTCTGAGGGCCTAATGCGAACGCAGCGGCTATCCATACACCCAGTCAAGTGTGATGGAACTCTCTATCTTGTATGAGTTGATGCGCAGTCAGCCTATTCCTGGGATCAAGCTGTGTTTCCTTCAGAAGCATCTCCTTGTTCTCCTAGTGGATTTCTTGGATAAGATGAAGCCGTTCGAGGTCTCTGGTGGTGTACGTTGCATGATCTTCGTACGATTCTGGAAAGAGCCCAAAGCATCAGTGATTTCGTGAAAAGAATCTTAATATCATACACTCGTCATAGCCTGCCAGCTCATTCAGATTTGAGTTATGTGGAATCCTTTCACATAAAGCAGAACATTAAGCTATGCTGCAGATTAGTTTTTGAGAGGCCAGGATAACTAGAGGTATGGCGAGTTACCTATGCGTCAGCAGATTATATGCTGGTGGCAGTTCCCCATGTCATTTGAAGATGTGCTTCAGCGCTTCTCAAAAGTCAGCATTCTCCAACCATTTCTCCATTTTGAGCGAAAGAAGATTCCATGTGAACTGTGTTCCCAAAGTCTGTCAATTGGACACTGTCAAATCGGACATCACCTTGCCCACAATGTACTGACACATATCAAGGTTTTGGCATCTATGTTCAGATCATACCATAGACAGCGCAGCTCAGGTCAAGAGAATGAACCAGTCTGAGCAAATTCCTCATTATGCAAAACTCCCCGTGTTTTTGACACTGTTTTAGTGACATATTTTCACTTTGAAATGGGCAGACGGTGGCCATTCAAGGCATGGAGAATGTCACTATCTAGATATCTCAATACAAGTGTGAGAAGAGTTAAAGAGTCTTTGATCTCATCAAGCAGTGGACGGATGTAGAGAGTTATCGTTTGGAAACAACGCAAAATATCCCATTCGAGTCGTGATCAAAAGAAATCAACACTTTTGACTAGTCATTACTTCTTTCTCCTGATATTGGCTACTATGAGAGTCATTATCCTAATGGTATTTTGTGTTTTCATGAAATTCAAATGTTCAAATGCATACTTTGCACACCACACGCAGTCTTGCAATTGCCTTGTGGCCGTATATCTAACTACATGTCCACTTCCCCCTTCAGTGTTTGGCCAAACAAAGAGGAGGTTACCGGTTGACGCGGCCAAGAATAACATGCTATAGGTCTGGTGGATCAATCATGGATGTGCAAATTGAACAATCACAAGTACATTTCCTCCTGGAGGGTGTTACGAGATCGGCAACCCGGGGTACACCCAATACTAACATCTATTGGTCTTAAACCGCGGCAGGCGTTTCTAAGTAGCCCCAGCTGTTGAGATCCACAGGTGGATCCAACAGAATTATCTTCGAGGGCAGTCAAACGCTGATACCAGGCGTGCATGCTTCAGTGAAAGCTGAGCTTCCACTCATACGTGTGGCAGGGAGGAAGTCAGTTTGCTTCCCGATAGTATAATTGGTGCTTCTGAAAGTACACTATTTCTGGTAAACCACAAATTGCTATACTCGAAGAGCAAGATAGAAAAAAAAAAAATCTCATAGATTATTAAACTAAAGGAATAGGATATTAGAGAAACCCATTTTCTTTCCCAATACTCCGGTTCACCTTTAAACCGAACTTCAACGAACAGTGATACTTTAAAATTTCATTTTGGTTTGCCACGTTAGAAACCAATCCACACTTTTGGAGTTTTTTTTTCTCCTTTCCTTCCCCTAGCCCTCGAGCCATGTTTGAGTCCTTGTGTGTTTTCTGCCCTAAACATTCATTGAGATTTTTGAGAGCAATCCTATTTATGTTTCTTGGCATCAGGTGGAGGGAGGTTTATAACAATTTAGGATAAAAGAGGCAACTCATAGGAAGGACAGACACGATTTAGCACAGCGACAGAAGAAAACAAAACGAAAACAAAACAACACTCATATCCGAAAGAAACTTCAACACGACGCACGCCAAATGACTTAAAGGAAATGTAACCGAGAGATGTTAATGGGTGCGAATTTAGAACATCCATCGACATTCCAATCTCTATGAATTTGATATGTGACACATCTCATCGCCGCACAAGGCGCATGATGACATGTTTATGCCATATAAGCGCTGGAGTCGACGCCGCCTTCGGGATATTCACTGCCAGAATTGTCAGTATGTTAAGGCGAAGAATAATTTGTTTTCTCGCTCTAGGAGTTACTCACGGAAGGGCAACTTCAAATCGCTTTTCGATGTCCTTGAGAACTTCTTGGTCTTGCTCGCTGCTTACGAAAGAGATAGCTAGACCCTTGGTACCGAAACGACCAGCACGACCAACACGGTGAAGGTAGGAATCCGCATCCGCGGGCAAGTCGTAGTTGATGGCCAAATTGATTCGTTCAATATCGATGCCACGACCGAAAACGTCCGTTGCCACGCAGATACGCTTGTTGAACTCTTTGAACTCCTTGTATCGTTTGATGCTGTAAAGACAAAGAACTATTAGTCGGAGGTTGAGGACCGTTTGGGAACAATGGGACTTACCGCTCTTCCTGGGAAACGCCGGAGTGGACAGCGATACTGGGGAAGTTGCATTCACGAAGAAGCTTATCTAACTCGGTCGCACGTTGGGTGCTCTTAACGAAGATGATGACTTGGTTGAACTCAAGGCTATCTAATAGCTCGTTCAACTTTCGGTTTTTCTCTGATTCGCTGAGCTTAATGTAGTATTGTAGAAGACCATGGAGGGTCAGCTTAGTGTCATCATCAACATACACCTCGAGGGGATTGCGCATAAACTTCTTGCAAATGGGCCGGACTTCCTGCGAGAGGGTAGCGCTGAACATCATAACCTGTTTGTCAGCTGGGGTGGCACGGAAAATCTCCTGAACGTCACGTCGCATGTCTAAGAAAATGCAATTAGTGGGTGCCATTGAATAATGGAGAGCGACAGCGGGACATCGGGTACTAACCGATTTGATCCAACATCTTATCGCACTCATCGAGAACGAACGCCTTAATGCTTCGAAGGGAGAGTTTCTTGTCACGAACAAGAGCATTCAATCTGCCAGGGGTGCCAACAACAATGTTGGGATAATTGTCCTTCGAAGAGAGCAATTCAATATCCTTCTGCATTGGAGTTCCACCATAGAAAACGGCAGTCTTCACATCTGGAAGATATTTACTAAACCGGGCATATTCGTTTTTGATCTGATATGCCAGCTCTCGGGTGTGACACATAACAAGTATCGAGCATTCGCCAGGAACTGGTTCCAGTTGGTGAAGTGTTGTGAGAACAAAAACGGCAGTTTTTCCAAGACCGGATTTAGCCTGGCACAGAACATCGACATTCAGAATAGCAGTCGGGATGCAAACTTGTTGGACTGTAAAGAGGAGCGACGGAAAAGTTAGACTGATTCGACCATTTTAAAATTTGAGGAAAGTGTAGTCGCATCGCGAAAACGTCCGTCCATCCATAATTCTCACAAAACGATAACATGAATCAAAACGGTCCCGGAAAGCGATATCAACCAAAAGAATGAGAACGAAATCCGTAGCACAAGATAATAAGGATGAGATGAATGTAAGATATAGCCTTCTGCAGATCGACACGAGGATTGGGACTTCTCTCTCGGGGGTATATGGATCATGAATCTCAGGCGTCTTGAGTCGTGGCGGCCGGCGCATTTCTTCATTATCAGAAATGGCCAACATTGACAGATAATTATGCCATACGGCAAAATATTGCCAATCGGTATTTGGGTTGTCTCCATGACGACGAACAGCCCCAAGTACACTGCCTGCGAAAATCCCCTTTGACCATACCATAGCTAACCTCGAAGAGATATCCTCGTGTCGACTGCAGGCCCGCAAAAAGCGTGTATTGATTCCGGCGTACATCAAAGAAACATCCCGAGGAGATGGACGGACGTTGCAAGATGGAGGAAGTGGAGGGAGGTTGGGAGAAATGTGATTTGTTTGGAAACTAACCCTCCGATGGATGTTCGAAGCCGCAATCGGTGATCGCACGCAAAAGTTCTCCTTTTAGGAGGAAATCGCGGAAGCCAGTCGAATGAATACCAACATAACTTCCTTTCTTATCGGCTCTCACGCCAGATACCGTCAAGTCACCCTCTTTTTTAAGAGCAGCGCCGTTGGTACCAGTTGGGGCTATGGACGTTGCAGCAGCATCAGTTGCCTGAAGCTCCTCATCGGAATAATCAATGAGATCTTCTTCGTGAGACATTTTGGAAGGATGAGGCAAAAAGTTGGTCGCGAAATTTGGCGGTTAGACACGCTGCTGGGTGGTCGTAAATGGTGATAGTGACTCTAGATATGATCCTGAAGCAAATATTACAAGAAAGAGATCAAGTTGGCGAGATACTTATAACAGATGGAGACAGGGGAGATGGAAAACAAAGGGAGAAGAGAGAGGTGGATGGAGGAAAAATAAAGGAAGTGAAGTGTTAGGCGTGGAGAGGAACGAGATGATTGAAGCCTGGTTGGGGGGGTTTGTCACTAAGCTGAGAAGACACTAGCCGTTTTAGGCATCATATAACACGTGATAAAAATATGGAATTAAATTTTTTCCGTTCCCTCAGAGGAAGTCCAGTTTTTGCCTTCACGTGATATAAACTATATCCCAGTCTCCAAGTCACCAATGTCACATTTGTATACTCTAGTGTAATACCCAAGTGGCGAGTATCATGGCAAAGGTTAAGCCTCAAAGGGGGTCTGGGGGGGCCGGGCAGGCTCATATTCGTGCGCGGATTTCATTTTTGTATAAAGCTTCCAACTACTTGCAATCAGCCTCTGTATCAAAATCTCGCTCAAAGGGCGATGTCAACGGCAACTCTCGGTGTCAGGACATCTGCTGTCGCGCACGTACAGAGGAACAAGCGGAGATGGCAAACTTACAATCGCCACTCAATAGCGCCACAGCTGTCACCAATAATGACACGACAGATATCGCGATGGTCCATCAAGATGGAATGGACCCCGCGGGATTTGGAGAGCCCCGCACTTCACAGCATGTCCAAATATCAAAGCTCTCCCGCCAGCTGGCGTCTCAGATGCGTGGGATATCACTTAAGTCTCAGCTGCGATTACCCCGTGACATCAAGCGATCTGTCTGCAAGCTCTGCAACTCGTTGCTGATTCCCAACACAACCTGTGTGGAAACGACGGAGAATTTCAGTCGTGGGGGTTCGAAAAAGAAGCCGTGGGCTGACGTTCGTGTGGTCCGCTGCAATAGCTGTGGCTATATAAAACGTTACCCGCAAACTGAGAAAAGGAGCTTGAAACTTATGGAGAGGAGGAAGAGAGAGAAAGAAAGAGACAGTGAAACCACGACCACCCGGGCGCAGACGTGTACGCCGGTAGTTTCAGTTGATGTTGGCAATGCGCGTTGAACCTTGGACATATCGCGATGGAGGATATCATGCGATGATATTACTTAAATACCGCCTATATACGACATGGGATGTATATGTATCCTCACCTAACTCCTTCAATCGCCTTACCTCGAGTCTTGATAGAAGGAATCAGACAGCAGAGCGGAAAAATCAAAATACCAATGACCTGTCAATAACGGATAGAACCACCAAGTGAGCTCATTTGCAATTGAATAAATATTGCTCAGTTCTGCATGATGCAGAGAATCATAATTACAGCATGACAGAACTCATAAATTCTTTTACAAAGCATCGTCAAAAGATTAATTTATTGAAATAATGCAATATTACACATGCATCTGCATCTGTGTCTTTCTGTGATAAACTTCTGAAGCTGATTAAAATTATGATATTGTAAATGGAGAATTGTTTTAATTAATAGTTACGTCTCACATAGTTCTCCAGATTTTGTATTTTGTCATATGAATGGCAAAGTCACTTCTGCAAACAGAAACTCTGAACACGAATTAGAATAGTGATGTAGAGAAATTATATGTCTAGGGGAACTACAGAGCTCTCATTTTGAAAACAATACAAAGTGAATAATAGAGAGCTGAACACACAATACATGCATGATATTTGTTCTAGCTCATTGATTATGCATACCCTTACACAGAGTTAAGGAGAAAGAGGGAGGAAGAGAATTCTTCTATCTGGCTCACAATACAATCCCTCTTTTTCCATTCTTACATAACGTGGATCATTGTTGTTTGGTATCAGGGTGCATAACTAGTGGATTTTGGTTACCAATACTTATGATATCCCGCCGTGAACAGTAAACATCAATCTATGTGGGAATAAAAAAATCCCAGGGACTGATCCTCCGCGGCCTGGAAAAGGGAAAGGGAAAGGGGGTCAAAAATGCGTGTATAGACACACGGAGTTTGACAAGGGAGAAATATTCAGTTTACAGGAATACGCTAAGCGCCTACATTGGAGCTAAGGGAAGTGGGAAAGACCAGGAAGACAGGGTAGCTTGAGCAGAAAAAGGGAGAGGGAGGAATGAACAAGTTGGATATTGAACATGACGGGAGTCGACCGCCATGGAGAGGGGAAAAACGAGGGCGGAGAATTCCAGACCTGAAAACGACACAAGAAGGAGTTGGTATTGCTTGGAAAAGCTAGAGATAGGAAGAAAGTGACGCGGGAAAGGAATGAAAAGGAGATTGTACATTCACACACAGATAATATAATAAGCAATTGGTAATTACCAGGATGGGTAGAAAGAGGTTATCATTAGAACAGGCAAGGTTGCGTGCACAAAGGTCATCAAAACACCCACAAGACATTCACTGAGGAGCGGGATTAGGTAAAGTTATTATAGAATGGAACAAAAAGTAAGTTGGGAACATAGAAAATGGCCGAGGAAGGGTAAATGTGGCATGGCATCGTCTCGTCAACTCAGTCATTCCGCATCAGCATCCTGCCCACCCACAACGAGGGTTCCAACAGCAATCAATGAAAAAGCTCGGCCGTGAGGCATGTAACCATTCTTAGAAGATTTTGTTATCCAGAGCAAAGAATTAAAGATGGAAATCAATAAAAAATAGACGTATAAATATCGGTTATTAAGTCCCTTTCCACATCATCGATAGTGTAGAAGCAGATTCATAGGCCCCATGAGGGGATAATCAGAAAAATAAATTTCTGTTCATACCGCTCGGAATTGGGTTGCGCATCAAATATGATGTAGTTCATTTTCGGTACTGGTGTTCGCGTCTCGTAGACAAACTGTAGGAAAGGTTGCAGTCCGTGAGGATTGGTATCGAGGATTGCTGAATATCCGATACCTTTTATTCTCTTCTTTGAGCTGAACATGGAAGAATCTTATTTTCGGAGCAAGTGATAGCAGCATTCAACAGCGGTGTAATGGAACGGGGACTATCCAGCAGTCGGAGGGGCGAAAATGTGTCGCGGTTTCGCAACAGACAATACATTGAGACATTTGGAGTGTATCATGGCAAAAATAGGAGATGGGATGGCGTTCTCTCGTGACATGTTAAAAAAGGCTGTCGCGTTGTTCATCCCGCCTGACCTTTCATTACGGGGATTATAGATTTATTCTTCATTCCTCCACCATGTCAAAGCCGAAGCAAATAGGGCAAGTGAAAGTAAACGAACGAGGATGTCATATCAGCGTCGTCTGCGGGCAGCCTGATCCAACCTGTGGTCTAGACTCTCAACTCTAGATCTGTATTGCTTTACGATATCTCTGATACGTCGGATCTTATCGAATTCAGTTTCCAATTCGTCAATATTCGCCAATATTTGACGCATACGTGCAATTTCGACATCGGCATTGGCGACGACATTGCCCGCTCGATCGTAGGTATTTTGAATAGAGAGTTCTGATTGTTCATTCAACTATGGGAAATGGGAAATGTCAGCCCAAAGCTCTCAAAGACGAGAATCAAATAGCATTGTGATGCTGCGTGAGATGATAAGGCGCAACGGTAACAGAAGCAGTTAGGAACCCAGATCTAAGGTGAATGAACCGGAGCCGATCGGGAATGAAAATATACGTCCATGTCTGTACCTACATAATCAATTCTCCGCCTTATATCCCTTAACAAACTCTCAAGCTGATAATAGAGGGCTTGCAAGCTATCCGGGTCAAGCAGCAGCCTGCCATGACTGCTGGCCGCGCTGGCTGCACTGGTAGCTCGCGAGCTCGAGTTGCTATTCCTCCCCATGCCTCTCCCCCGGGAGACGAGGCTGCCAGCACGGCTGCCTTGGAGGGCGATTTGCTGCTGATGCACAGCCATCTGCATCTCGGCAGAGGTGAGGCCGAACCGGGCATCAGGAATGGACGTTGACCCGGACATCTGGTATTTGGCTGATGGGTGCGCAAAGACATGCTCTTAGAACAGGAGGTCGTCGGATGCACGGGACAAGAATGGGAGGGCAGATGGGCGGTAGTTCATGATGAAGAACAATGCGAATGAAATGACTTGGCGGGACGACACTGAAGAGGGAAAGGGAAAGTCAAAGAGATATATATTATTGGAATCTCCGTGATCCCTCAAAAGCGCCTTGTTCTGCACTAATGATCAATAGTCGCGTATGGCTAGATCGGAGGAAGGTCGCAAAGCGGGTAGACAGGATTAGGATACAGCCGCCGCACGGATTTAGCCTTCAAGAGGTTGCGGAGGTGGTGAAGACTGGACAGGATAAGGGTAGGAAATGAAACGGATGTGATGAAGGAATATGAGAAGTAAGAGAGGGTAAGGGGGCTGGAGTAGATCGCGGATGCACGAAGGGAGGGTTGAAGATGAAAAAGGATGAAGTTGAAAAAGGGTGGAGATGCGGATTGAGGTTCGGAGAATTGGGCAAGTTGAGCTGGTGACCTTTCACAGCAAAGGGAGACACTCTCACAATAAGTACCACCAGGTAATTGATACTGGTAATATTAATCTCTCATTTCTTTATTTACCATGCACTCCTATGAAGAAAAATCCATGATGCGGTCTATTACAATTACTAATGATATTTAAACGATTGTGAACGATTCTGACTATATCATCGCCATTTAAAACTACATAACCTCATGTTATAAAAAAGGCTTCCATGCGAACAAACATATCATCCAAAGAAAAATGCCCCATCGCCGCCTCAGCACATAAAATAGTGAAATACCCATCGGATTGGATGTGACAGGAAAAACGAATATACCTGCGCTCCGCCAGAGAAGAGGGGCAATGGAATAGGGCAGTTGTCGATGCTGAAGCTCTGATTTGATTGATAAACCAATACTCGAGCGTGTTTCCGTTAAGAAACAAAGCATGAGATGATATCAAATCAATCAATACCCTTCCGGCGCTGTCAATTCGCATCCACATCCGCACTGAGTTAGCATAGCCACCGCATTGTATGTATGTAATTATGTAGGTAGTAACATTGGAGAAATGCTCCCATCGCATCTCCCGAGAATCCTCGTCCATATCACCGTCTAGCCGGCTGCAACTGCAAGTCACACGCGCATCTTGCGCTTCGATGTGCTTCGATGTCGCCGTCGGCCGGGAATAGATGGCGGACCAAGGTTCAACGACATTCTTGTTCATCTGACGGCTTTTTCTGCACGCACTGGGGCTCCGTTCTCGGATATCCTGTACTCCGACTGAAAAAGAGCACTAGATCCCGAAACACAAGACGGGAGGACAAAAATAAATAATATTAACGATTGGACTGGATTGTTGAGGAGAACGAAACAAACGTGATCTGATCGTCTGCACGCACCAATGGGTCGGTATCCCCAGCCCCTGCCACCGTCTGCGCATTATTGGTGGGTGGCATCATGCTGCTGCAGTGCAAGTCGTAGGGCTTTCGGGTGCCCAACCTGTGAGGCTAAGGCGGGAAGCCCTTTAGAGCACATTCTATTGGCCTGGAATCCCTTATTTACCCCAGAAAAGATTTTCTCTGCCTTTCGTCCTGGTAGCCGCTGGCCTGGAGCTGCTCGTTTATGCACAGTCATTTCTAGAGCCTGTTGTTTGACTCGTTGGGTGGGCGTTGTAGCAGTATAGTTGTGAGCTCTCTCTGAGTCTCCAGCTGCGCCCGCAGTTTGGGTGGGTTGGGAGATAAAAAATTAACCCTAAATATTTAGTCAACATCAGCCAAAACAAAACTCGCCTCCTCACAGAGTCAGTCCGTCCTCAGCTTTCACCCAGCGCATTCCAACCAACAACCAACATCCAAGAGCCACTACTGCAGCAATTTTCCTTCGATTCACAGCGGTCAGGGCATATCATCTTCTGATGCCTCTTTTTTACGTGGCTTCTTGATTGTTTTTTTTTTTTTCTGTTTCTAGTTCCTCTCCACTCATGCCCTTTCAATTCCATTCCAAGTTGACTGCTTCGTAGAAAAAAATAAACTAAAATTAAGACTTAAAAAAAAACCCTTAACCATTCGATAATGGCAAAGGACAAAGAACGCTCCGTCAACCCCGCGCAGGCCCAACGGCGGTTGGAGAAGCAAAAAGCGCTTAAGAAAGGCAAGGCGGAGGTCCAAGCTCGCCGCAATGAGAAGCTTGCTCGTCGCAACCCTGACCGACTCCAGCGCCAAATCAACGATCTCAAGGCCATCGAGGAATCGGGGCAGCCTTTGAAACCGTCAGAGAAAAAACATCTTGAAGAGCTTGAGAGGGATCTCCGCGCCGTCAAGAAGGCCAGAGAGGCGCTTGGTGATAGGGCCCCGACGTTTGGAAGAGGGGAAGCTAGACAGGGAGCGCATGCCTCTGATCGAGGTCGTGGTGATGGTGGTGTACTGGGAAAGAGAAGGAGGGATGGCAATGAGAATAGCCGATGGAGGCGTCATAGTGGTGAGGATGGCAATAAAAGCAGCGACACGGACGAGAGCGTTCGACGCATCCCCATGCCAAAAGACACACCCCCACCCATCCCGCGCCAGAATGCACCCCGACGCGGAATCAATGCAAATACGGAACCGCTTGGCGAAGGCAGAGGGTGGGGAGAGATGCAGCCGGCTTCTGCTGCCACTACATCTGCAGCTGCACAAGCTAAGCTTGAAGCTAAAACGGTTTACGAAGCGGCTCCAGTCATCAAGGATCTGCGGAAAGAAGCTGTGCGCAAATTTATCCCAACAGTTGTGCGGAGGAAAATAGAGGCCGCTGAGGTCCAGCCCGGGAGACTGGTTGAGCCTGAGGAAATGGATCAGCTCGAGAAAGAAGGTTATGTACCTGGTGCTCTCCACGGGCAACCTGCATCATCTGTCGAAGTTGGAAGTGTAACTGGATCTCCCGCGATGAATGTTACAACGCCTCTAGAGGCTGACACTTCTAAAATAAGGACTGTGCAGATAGAAGACGTCGATGATGAAGATCTCTAGTCTCTTGCCATTCGTGACTCACATGCATGTTCTGCTTCCCCATCTTTTTTCTTCTTCCATTTTATCGGATCATACATAACTGTCGATCATGCACAAAATACCTGAGTGTTCTGGCGTCACATTGGAAGGGATTTGATGTCTCGCATACATAAAATACATATAATGGAGAAAGGGAGTTAATCACGGAACGGTCTTCTTTACGGCGTATTATATGGGGAAATTACTTGTTGGACACCTGTCTATACAAGCATAATATCGAAAGAAAATAGCAACGCATCGCTCAAATGCTACCAAATTCAACGACCATCAAAACATACCCATTCCACCACCCATCACGCATCATATCTTAATCGATCAACATCTCATCACTCACCCATCACACTAGAACCAACTTTCACCCCATTAACTTCCGAAAAAACGTTACAGTATTGTATTCTTCCCCCACATCGACTCCAGCCATACATAATCCGAGTGGACAAGCGAAACAACACCCGATGCATTCTTACCCCGCTGTTCGCACGTGTTTGGCGGATATGCGGAAGGTGGCGCTGCAACCGACAATTAACCATGAAGGGGGTGAGTGATCATGGTAGCATTGCGCAGTTAAAAGCGCGGGGCCGAAGCCAATGATGTAAGATGTTTAATGGCGGAATATGGACTGGGAATACGGGCTGCGGGTTGCTGCCTTTTGTTAACTAAGGAGGGATATCAGTACGAGGATGGTTATGCTATATCAATTTATTGCGATCTTCTGTTTTTCACTTCTCAAATAGATTCCGTACTTGATTGTTGTATTGGAATATCAGGTGGGCCAGGGGGATAAATTGGTGAGGGACGGGACGGTGTCACAATGGTCACGGATTTGAGGATGGAGGATAAAACTATGGATGCAATGGGTTTTAAAAGGTGTTGAACAGTTTTACCAACCAAATATCATTCAAGATGGTAGTTGCGCTGTATCCGACTGGAGGGGAGTCTCCGGTAAACCGCCCCGACCCTATCGCAATCACAATCGCACAATACCATTTTCCACACCTAGTCCATCCACCAGTCGATCAAACACCCTTTGCAATCATTGTACCGTGCGGTTGGAAAGTGGTACAGAGTAGTTGATAAGGACGGAAATGCGAAAAGGAATAAACGGGGTAACTGTACATTACATGAGCCTCTGTTCGCGGTCGAAATTCACGTTTCGTCTGTAAGGGGCTTTGGCGTCCCGCTGAGGATAAAGTTATTACTTGTACAATTAAAGCTTAATAAAGGCAGAGTTTGTCTACGCCTGATTTGTCTGTTGTTATTGGGGTTCTGCTGGTCATGAGAAGGAGCTCATATAGGTTAATGACGGAGGTTGTCAGTATAGTCTCATCATTCATAATGTCGTCTTGTCTCTTCTGATATATCTACATAAATCTATCATCTGGTCATTTACGGCGGAGAACGGGCGGAGAACAACTTGTTGGCCAATGTTTTGCGAAGTTTCCGTGCACCGGCACGTCCTCAGGGGCGCCATACCATACACATAATCCGATAGAGGCCACAATGGTTTCACAACATGAGAACACAGACCACCATGTCCGGGGAAAACAAGAAACCGTTGTAACAGGTGTTCGTGGGGTATACAGCCCGGTCCAGATTACCGGTTCGCACTTATCTGCCTTGTACGATGTCTTGGAAGCAATAGGGAATGGACCACAATATGTTAACTGCTAAATGTCCGGGGCTTGAACAATGATGTAACGTGGACTGAGATATATCGAGAAAGCAAATATGGTAGTGAGTGATTTTGCAAAAGAACACTTTTCGGGAGTTGGGCATGTATCACCTTCAGGTATCAGAATCAGTTCCTTTACCTCTAATTCCAATAACACAAAGTAAAGAAATTATGATAGTCCCAACAAAGATGCAATACAACAAAAAAATCAAAAGGGAAAGCAAAAACGCATAGATACACCAAATTTTCCTGCCTGCTTTGCTTTGAATAGTAAGTAACTAAATCCCTGAGATTCCTTCTCTGTGACCCAACCGAGGATAAACAAGGGCTGCTGCAAACAGTCTCTGGTAATATCCAAAGAGAACCAGAAGGAAATGATTGTGATAAGAAATATACTAATGATGATGATGATGATAATAATGAAATAATTAGAAAAATAGAGAGAGGACCAGAAAGCCAGTAGGAGGAGAGATATTTTGTCTGGTAAAAGGGAAGAAATCCGAACTTTGTGAAGGAAAAACAACAAAAAGAAAAGATAAAAGAAGGGCATAATTTATCAAAGACTGGATATTATTTAGAGCAGATAGGACGAGAGAAGTTAAAAAAAAAGTGGAAGAAGAAAAAGAAGAAAAGGAAATCCCTATACTTCAAAAGATATGGAAGTAAAAAGGAATACGAAATTTATAAACGGCCCTATCCTGCCAGCTGTGGGAAATGAAATGAAAATGTTTGGGGACTGACGGTGCTGTTTGCAACAGTATTGATACAACAATACCCCTTTCAATAATGTGTGGTGGGCAATGGGGATAAATGCAAAGATGGATATTAACAGCCCCGCTTAAATACTCTATCTCTGATAGTCCTGATCAGCGGTTCAACACAGAGGCTAATGAATAGGCATATCCAATGCCATGGGAATGCAGTCATCTGAAAACTCCTCACTTCAACACAAGTTGAAAAGATAGATAGAAATCCAACACAGAATACCAGGTACATGAAACAAAGTAAGGAGAGAGAACCTGTAGACAAGGAAAGAAGAAATATGAAATATTCCCAAAAGAACGATAAGCACAAAGACACCACTTTCCAAAATATTATTAACGGAACTCCTGAGGTGACATAGTGGACTGGGGAGGAACCACTCCTCATAAAAGAATTTTTACACCGGCAGCTAGGGGCGTCACGGGGATGATGATGTTGTGCACGTATAAAGATGGGCAGAATTTCTATCGAAGGTTGCGAATGACCCTGGCACCCCTGGCCAAAAACGGGCTGGGCATTTCGTCTTTCTCCGGGTCCCAGGTCGCGGGAGGGTCTCTCTCAGCTGTTCTCATAACACCAGTGCCGAGAGTGTTAGGAGAAACACCTGCTGCCGAAATTCTGGAATCACCACCATTTCGCTTCGCATCGTCGATTGCTCTACCTCCTGCTCTAGCTTGCGCAAGTTCGACTAGCGTCCGGCCACCCATGTTCCGCTGAAGAACAGCTTTAAACATTTCATCGCCCCCGCCGTTTCCTTTAAATGTGGGTGGTTTAGCTGCCGCGCGCCGGGGAGATACACTTTCTCCAGAGAGACTTGTAGAAGACAAGATTCTAGTTAGGTGACGGGGGGATTTAGGCTTTGCATCTGAGGCAACACGTCTAAGATCGTTATATGATACTGTAGTGGTAAGGTGGTGTTGTCCTGAAGCCTTGGATGGGAACAGGCTGGGTTGTGTGCTCAATTTCTGCACCATGGCAGTGGTATCCTGTCGAAGTAAAGGTCTTACAGGGGCTTTAATAGGATCAGGTCTAACTCTTGGTCGCGTGGGAGAGGGCACATCAGGCATATCATCTTCATCATCAGAGGTGTATGTTAGACAGGGTTCCCACTTGTGATTTGATCTTGCACCTTCAGCAAATATATTTTTGGAAGTACTATTTCCGGCAGTGCGGCGGGAAGAGAGGGACAATGAAGCGATGGACACTGGCGAGGGTTCAGCCATTTGTATATCATGAGGAGATTCAAGCATAATTTTCGCCCGGTTGAACGGCGTTCTACCAGCTCTTCTTAGTGGTTTGCTGCTTTCGGACGTCGGGGAGTCAAGCGACAGCTCGCTGAGATCTGTGGATGAAGGGAAATTATCGTCTGTATTCCCAGTTCCGATGGACGATTGGCAAGAATGTTCCGCTGAGGAAACTGAGGCAGTTTCCTCTATGAGTGCGGAGCAGCACTTTGTTTGCCTTTGCAGCTCTGCTACAACTTTTTCTTGAACTTCTATGTCGAATCGTTTCCGAAGCCTCTCAAGCTCTAGTTGTACCAGACGGTCAATCTCGAGCCTTGCCTTTACTTCCCACTCGCGGCGAACCTTGTTTTCAATATCAATTTTCATGGCTGCTTTTTCTTTATCGAGACGTGAGTAGCTGAGCTCAAGTTCTTCCCTCTTCAGCGACATAGCTTCCTCCTTCTTACGCAACGAATTCCCCAAGTCCACAACTTCTTTTTCCTTCCTCATTAGGCGAATAACTGGCATTTGCAGCAAAGCAGCGGTGTCTGGTCGCTGCTCCGGGTTGACCTTCAAACAAGAAGCAATGACACTCTTGAGCTCGGAAGAGTAGATATCCGGTAGAGGTGCAAATTTCCCCTCACGGATTTTTTGGACAAGCTGGATATGCGTCCTGGCGTTGAAGGGAGGCTCTTTCTGGCAAAGTTCGTACATGATACATCCAACCGCCCAAATGTCCGAATGGAGGGTATATTTTTCGGCTGCACATATTTCTGGGGACATATAAAAGGGTGTTCCAACGTATGTTGAGGCAAAGTCGTGAGATCGCATTTGCTTAGAAAGGCCAAAATCTCCCAACTTGACAGACTGATCCTCACCCAGGAAGACTTTCAAATTGCCAGTTAGAGTAGAGCTTGAAACACAGGACTTGGTACTTTTACATACTGTTTTCTGGTTTCAGATCACGATGCAGGATCATCATCTGGGCTTGTTTTCCTTTCAAACCGGAAGGCTTATTATTCGGTGGTGGGCCCAGCACATTTGATCCTGCCTCCGGGGGATCCACCCCATAATGACACCGATACAACGCGGTCACAAGCTGAGAGAAAATTCGCCAAACAAACTCTTCTTCCGCGTATTTACCAGTGGCCTTCAAATTTTTAATAACCACCCCAAGGTCCCCACCACCGCAGTACTCCATGTACAGGTAAAGGTCCTGGGAAGCTTTCAGATGTTCTCGATGATAATATGCAACGATATTGGGATGTCGAAGGGAACTGAGAATATTGAACTCTGTTGTAAGTTGCTCGCGCTCCTTTTGTGACATTTTGACGTAGTTAATTTCCTTGCGGCAAAGGATCTGGCAATATCTATTAGCTACTTGATGAAGTGGAGAAAGACGGTAACTCTGGTTCCCATACATAGCCATCAACCTTACGTCTGACCTTGCGAATCACACCAAATGACCCGCATCCTATATGATATTAGCGACGTAGCTTCTCTTAGAGAAATGGATTCTCGTACCTATTCTTTCCAACACATCATACTTGTCGACTTCAGCCAGCGCAATAGCCATGACGAACAAGGAATGACAAGGGGTTCGTGATAAAGGGAAGAGAAAAAGTAAGCAAAATCAATACATGAACAAGCTGCCCGATCCAAAGAACCTGTAATGTTAGTATATTCCGTACAACAACAAGTGGTGATTTTTGTGAAAGTGAATTGAAAATCAGTGATCACAGATCCCCAAACTTTCGTTGCGTAGCAACCAGGGAGGGTGTACATAATTAACCCTTTTGGGAAGGCGGTGTGCATATTGCCACTCACTAGCGTTTCAGGGGAAAATTTTGTTCCATGACGTTTGTCAAAAGTGGGTTGATAAAATGTTTACATTCCCTACCCATACACATATACAACTAGAATTTTCTCAAGAATAAAACCCAATTGTGGGATATATCGTATCTCTCGAAGGTTCTAAGTGTGCGGTTCATCCGGATTTTTTGATGTATTGACTTCGAATCGCAGTGCAAACAGTACAAACAAAAAGTCGGTAAAGGAATTTAAAGTTTGTGGGGAAACACGTGACTACTAATCTCTCAAATCTTGCTGAATCTGATAAGATAAGAGATGTGTCTTGACATGCTGACAAAGCTAGTTATCCTCATCATCATCATTCGTCGCCATCAACATCAGTTCTCCGATTTCCGTGTTATTCTGCCCGTCTTATAATGTGCTTCTTGTTGAATCAGATATGCCTGCGACGACTACTCTGCGCAAAGACCAACTGGAAACAAGCTTGCAGAATGAAAGGAGACTGATCAAAGATGGGAAGCTTCAGGAGGATAACCCCCTTGACCTGAGTCCACCGTTTCGTGAGTTTTGCGAAGCATGTCGAAGAGGCGACCTGAAAGCATGTCAAGAGAAGATTGCGGAAGGAGTTAATATCAATGCGAGGGACCTATTTGATTGCACACCCTTGATTCTTGTAAGCACCAGCTTCGTTCTATTTTCCCAAGTATCGCCCTTAATCCTTAAGACCGTGGCGGCTGCTATTTGTATCTGGGGTTGATATACTCCGTTTCCCCCCTTAAAACCGTATGGCATTTGAAAGGTGACTGTTTATGAAAAGGCGAGCCTTTGCGGCCATTATGAAGTTGTACGACTTCTCCTTGACTCGGGCGCCTTATGTGAACGCGACACTTTTCAGGGCGAAAGGTGACGCTTCCCCTCGAGTTTTAATGCTCCGGTTATGGGATGTTTTGCTAACACTCTTTGGAATTAGATGTCTCTATAATGCGTTGAATGAGAGAATACGGAATTTGCTCCTTCAATATGATTATTCGAAATCCTCAGACCCCTTGCAGCCGTTTGCCGCTCACCTGTCATCGCTCTTATCGAGAGACCATCCTCAAACCGCAGACATTGTAGTCACGGCTGCTGGTGAATCATTTCGATTGCATAAATTCATTCTATCTGCTCGCTCACCGGCTTTTGCCAAAAAACTCACTATTGCCCCAACTGCAAAAACTTGGAAGCTTCCGAACACAATCCCCGCTGTAGCATTCAACGCAGGGATGAGATATTTGTATCTAGGAGAAATGCCACGGGAGCAGCTGTCGGGACTGGGAACTGGCCTTACTGAAGCGGAAATTTTTGCTGGAATTGAACGGGTCGCCAAACATCTTGAGCTCACTGGTTTGGTTGGTACCATTCTTGACAGTGGAGATAGGCGACTAGCAAGGCAGCGCCGAACAGAGGAAACATCCAAGGCACGCGATCAGATGGAAGCATGGTTTTATGAGAATGTGATCAAACATAAACTCGTTATCGAAACCAACAAAGCCCATGAGGTGAAGTGGTCACGAGACAATGAGATATTTGCGGATGTACTACTTCGTGCGGATAATCCTGTCACGGAAGATCTGAATCTTCCAAAGGATTCTACCAAATTGGGGTCTGATAAAAGGGAAGCTAGAGTTGCAAGTCGCATTCTAGCGAGGTCAACACCTCGGCCATCATCGCGTGCGTCGTCACCACGACCCCAACGACAACAGACGTCAACGCTTTTTCCTGTCCATCGAGCGATGCTTCTTCGCTCCGATTTTTTTAGTGCTATGTTTTCTTCCAGCTTTAAGGAAGCCCAAATAACGGAAAATTTGCAAATAATACCCGTTGACTGTTCGCATGAGGCATTGGAAGTTGTCCTCAAGTATTTATACACTGACAAAGTTGAATTTCCCTTGTCACTGGGAGTCGAAGTGCTCTATGCCGCGGATCTTCTCTTAATTGAAAGGTTGAAATCAAAAGCAGCTGTATTAATCAGCTCACTTGGCAATGGAAATATGAAACTTCAACAGACCGGGATTGAAGATGGAAAGCCTGCTGAGGAGGCAGATGCAGCAGGAAAGGAAGTTCAAGACGATGCTGAGGAGGAAGAAATAGACATCTACGAACTCATCCGCGCTGGGTGGTTGTTCCGCGTCCAGCGACTGGAGGAATTCGCTGCTCGGTATCTTGCTTACCGTCTAGAATCACATATAGATTTGCCAGAGTTCTCGGAGTTGGTTGCAGAATCAGCGACCCGTATCACACAGAGACAGGAAACTGACTCTATAGAACTCGTGGACGACATTCGATTTTATCTTAGCGAGAGATTCAGACTACGTTTCGAAGATACGTGCTTGGATGAAATCATGGATGAAAACCGGAAGGAGGTGACGAAGATTGACGGAGAAGTTGCTGGAGTGGACACTGTCAGCGATTCGAAATTCAAAATTCCCAAGTGGGGATCCGGATCTGGATCTGGGACTTATTTCCCTTGTGCATTTGCCTCATCTTCTGGCTCCAACTCTCCCTGTCCTGGTCGTGAACATCACCCAAGAACTCCAGACGACGAAGCCATTGACGTCAGCGAGTATAAGTCTCCACCGCTAGTTGGTCAAACTTCTGAGAATTTGGGGGTCGTTTTCAGAACTCTGGATGGGCATCCTGCAGGAGACGAGTTTGCAAGAGATGCTGCAGACTACCAAATCTTACTGGCTAAGCTAGATCGACTTTTGGAGAAACTTGATTTGGAGGCCTAATAGTATGTGCGGGCGTCTGGGATAGACAATCGTTTAATACTATTATCAGTTTTTATTTTTTATTTTTTATTTATTTTATTTTATTTTATTTTATTTATTTATTTTTTCACCCATGGTATACCACCTTTTTTATCTTCTCAACTGTCCCTGAAATTGGAGGAAGAAAAACCAAACCCCTCTCCTCTATCTTCAATCCTTCATTCTTATAACTCTTACAGCTTTTGATGTTTCTGAAGCCACAGAGCATTTGTGTATTCCCTATTTATAGCTTCTCTCTTCCATGTAAAGGATATGCTTTCACTTCTGTTTATATATCTGCACCTAGCATTATTCTCGGTCTTACACCTTCCTTGAGACTGACTGATATTAGCCCGTTAAGTTTCGAGTCGGGTGTTTAGGCACAATGAATCTACGTGTTCGTACATTGCATACTGCATGCATATCCGTGTGTATGTCCATATATGCAGTCACTGGTGCGGAGCTGACTTTCCATGCGCAAAGTCATGTGTACGCCTCTTCTGTCCACTTCGGTCTGTTCCAGTAATTTTGAAATACGTTTTACATCTATGGAGGGATCCATATAGATTTGACATACATACATGCAATTGTCCTTGCGGGTATGAAATTGAGGTGGTTCTGATAAAGCCAATTAATGGCATATTAAGAAATAACCAATTCAATTGCAGCTTCAAAACTGCTTGAAATAGCATGGTGAGCGTCCGGAAGTGTCGTATCTTGATATGTTATCAAGTCATCAAACTCGGAGCAAATATGTATGACGATGTTTACTTGGGATGTTAAGAGATAAACATACACCATCGCATTATAAATGTTTCCTCTAAGTTTACTATTGTAACCGGAATTAAGTGGTAGATACTCAAGAGAATGGTGGTAGGCAACCGGAGACATTTGACTAGTCTTTTGATATAGATACATTATTAAGAATGTGAAGATATGAAGTGGTCCAAAACTGTAATGACAAAGCTGGATATATAAAAAGAAGAAATGGTAAAATAATAATAATAATAATAATAATAATACATCGGTGAGTAAGGTTTGGTGGATTCGGGATATACGATTGTTGGAATGAGGCAAAGGTGACTGGATGGACCAGGGCTTTTATTTCTCTCATTCTTTCCCCTTTCCCATCTGTCAGGAAAGGAGATACTCTCTCACTGTACATCAAATGCCTTCCCTTCCATTTCAGCCAAATGCCATCCGCTCTAAAATGCTTTTTTCGATAGCCCCTAGCGGGGTGGGCGATGTCTCTCAATTTGTGCTAAGCCCCGGTCTCGATTTCAATTCACCTTCCAAAGAGCGGATCGGATCCCGTAGAAATGTTTGGATGCAAGGGATACTTGGACGAGTCGGAAGATATTTTTCGCGTCCATAGAGTATTGGGTTGTGGTTCATCCGTTCGTCATTCCGCCACGAATGATATGATATTGTGGGAAAGTTGGTTAGCCACGGAACGGGTGATCCAGACTATATTTCTGGTTTCTTCAAAGTGTTATCATTTTGAATATCCTGGAAACCAAGATTCTCCGTAGCATTTAAACCATCAAATGCAAAAGGTGACTTCAAATGCTGCTATGGTCACGTGAATCTATCCCATTCGCAAAAGGAGGATTGGAAAAGTGTTTTATGGTATCGAATCTGATTTTCAAGCCCTTCTTATCGGTACACATGAGCAATGGATGAATCTGTTATATTTTTTTTTTTTTTGGCAGCTGAAATGGGTGCTGTTCTTGCTCTAATTAACCAGAGCACTTTGCGTAGGTCTGCCAGTATGACAGCCCCGTTCGTGTCGTTTCATATTACTCCTGACACTAAACGACTTGCCACAGTTGACATGAGGGCATTTGAATGGTTTCTCGCCCGTGTGGCTATGGGAGTGAATTCGAAGACTTGAGGGACGCGAAAACGCCTTGTGGCATGTCCGGCATATATACCTATCATGGTTCTGCGGGTACGGAGGCGCATTCGATGGCGGGAAGTAGTGATGATGCTGCCAGGTTGAAATCATCGAATGATGATGGTGTTGTTGGGTAGATGGAGTCAACAGAAAGGGGATATGTGGAGGGAAAGTGGGGACGTGCGGCGGACGACCATAGTACTCTGAGGGGTTGGCCGGGGGTTCGACCGGAGAAGCAAACGGAGATGAGCTGTTCGGTAGATACGAGGATGATGCGTAAGACTTCTCTGAAAGGGGTATTGGAGAAGTGAGAGAGGTCGATGTCCTAGCTGAATGAGGGAGGAATGACCCTTGGGAGACCCTACATTGGTGGTAGTTCTCCGTAGGGTTACTGGGATATGTGAGATTTGTAACTGAGATAGGAGACTGTGCGGATGATGGTGATGATCCAGATGGCGAGAGGTTGTTTCCATTAAATTCAGAGGCCAGATGCAGGGGAGGCGTTGGTGGTAAAACTATCCTCGGCCCATGGCTGACTTCATATCTTTGTGGCTTTTGATCTATATATTTAGATGGAAATGAATTTTGGCGTTGCTTTTCTGTTGACCAGTGTTAGTAGCTATAAAGAAAAATGTTGGAACGGCAATTCGTACTAGGTAAGCGGACAGGAGGAAGATTGTGTGTATCCTGTAGTAAACTCGTTATCGAAGGAAGAGAGAACTTGGTCTGTTCCTCAATCGGCGGAGTTACAGGCGGCCGAGGAGAAAGGACGTATGCAAGATTCGACGCATTGCGATCATAATATCCATCTGGCTCGCACAACGTTGATGACTCGCTGTGTAAGGATTGACGCTTCTGGGAAATTCCCAAATGTGAGGATGTCGAAAGGGGGCTGTTATAACTGGTAACTAGGTGGGATAAATTCATCTTGACCAATGGCTTCGGCAATGCCGGTAAATTGAAAGTTGATGATAAGAGAGTAGAAATGGTGCCCAAGACTTAAATCGGGAGTGTGTGTTAGAAATTCAATAAGGTGAGTATGGTTGATATGAGGCGCGGGCAGAGAGTGTTCGACAGAGAAGCAGCCAGAGAAAGTTGAGATGAACAGGTTAAAATATCTCAGGACAAAGGGGGCCAGGACTGGTTGATATGGGAGACGCAGCCGGACTGGTCCAGTTCAAGTACAGTCTACGGGTGGGTTATTAGCAGGAAACTGTTTAGCCTGACAAGGGTAAACGAACACTAGAGCCAAAGATCTTCGAGAACCCAGCGGGGAAAGATAACTAGGGGGGAAGATACTTTTTCGTCTCCTTTCTGGCGGAGTAAAGTTGGGGTCAACTTTTGAATTGTTTACCGAGCTTGATGATCATATCGATGGGGCTCTTTTGTGGGATGGGCGTACTTTGTGAATAAGTATAATACCCACTCTGCCCCGGCGTGTTCCGCCGATTCAGGAGAGGATTAATGATTATTATTTCCGTCCTTTATTGAATCAATCACGGGGCAACAATGGGGAGCTTTTGGATCCACTGAAGACCCTTATCGAATATGGCTCCGAGATTATTATTGGAGTCGGCGGTACCACATGCTTGTATGTATGTCCAATAATACATACAAACAAACATAATAATGACAATAACAATCAGACCATCCTTTGACCATTCGTTAACTGATGGTGTTTACCAAGAATAGAGCTGCAACTTCCGGGTGAAGCAGTGACGGGGAAAATTGGGGGAAAATGTTCGTCGTGCAGGTTTGGATCAGGAGGCAATTGCTCTTAATCCGTATTGTGGCTTTTGAGACAGATCCTCCCTTGAAATTTTGAATTCGTGGCGCTCTCCGCCGCTCATACCCCCTTGACTTCGTCTCTGCACACGGCGGCGGGGGGGGGGGGGGGGTTTGCTATTTGGTACCCATCAGCATGGAAATGCGATATGTGCAGTCCCCGCACCGAGTCGAAGTTTACAAGTTGATATGGTATGCTGTAATTGGTCTATGCAAGAGGCGATTTTTGCAACATTGAACCTCCTCCCTCTCCGTTCTTCGCTTGGGATAACTCCATTCGAGTTATTTGCAAACGTCCGGACTGTATTTTCGTTACAGCGTATGTAGGTAGCGGCGGAGATCATGGCATCCTCCAAGGTTCCAAGGATCATCTCGAAAAGTCAGCATCAGCAACCTCGACCCATTTTTTCGAGTTAGAACCACCACCCTAGCCACCCACACCGGCTCCTCCAATAATGGTTGTGGCACCGCTCACACTTGACAGGTTGCCTGCTGAAGACAGCCAGCCAGGTGTTGATTGATCCAACATGCTTGCTGTCTGAGTGCCATGCCAGCCCAGGCCATGAAGAAGGACACGGGGCATAACCGTCCGGGGAATTGGGGGAAAACGCAGCTCTTGATCTGCCAGTTAAACCCGCGTGCTGGCTCCATGAGTCGCCAAGTTCCGACCCTCCAGGCCCTTTCGGGTCCGACAGGGATGGACCCAAGGATGCTGCACATCGCTACGTGGTGGTCCTAGTTTAGCTTTGTAAATCAATCTTATTCTCTCCTAGCACGGCGAGATCAAGTCCAATCGCGCGACCATGATTTGTGAACGGCTCTCAACGCCTGAGCTAACGGTCCCAAGGGAAATTGGACATTCCTCGGCGTCCCGTCCCCTGTTCGTCTCTGGTGGATCTGCGCTAAGAGCAAGCTTGAGGGATAGACGGATCGCCACTTCTTGTAATTTATGGTCCTTTTACTTTTAAATTCCTTACATTTTCTCTTGGTTTCCACTCAGCTTCTGTTCCTAATGGGAGTTTCTCGCTAACCAGCCACTTAGCTCTCGTTTAGCTACGATGGGGGAGGCATGAAGAAAGTTTGACCCAACCAAGGTTCATCCTATGCTATTCTTGACTGCTGGGAAATAGTCCATGGCTTGCTTGGCTCTATCCCTCCGTTGTTGGCTGAGTGCGGAGATCGATCATGGCCTAAAAATGGCTGATCAACCATCAGCCAGTGACAAGAAAAACACCCGGGCTCCGCGAGTCATGTGGAAATTGTCTAGGCCAGTTACAGATACGGTTTCGCCATCTTTTCCGCGCAAAGACTCCCAGGACCACACGAGGGCAGCTAGCTATAAAACAATATCTCTCGTGTCAAGTGTTATGGTGAATGTGAATCATGGTATATTCAGTTCTTCCTTGCTAAGCGTGATATGATTTTCCGTAGTGTCTGATGTTTGGCTCAGAAAATGATCCGTCCATCGGTATCTTAAAAGTCATAATCAGTGCTTTGCGAATGTCTGAACGTCCGAATCTTCATGATAAACTTACACCGTCTGCGATTTCTATTAAGCTTGGCGAGAGCATTACTGCACATCATCACTCCTATCACTTCATTACCAAAGCTTTCTAGGGAACTAATTATGAGTGCCATGAGACATTAACTTCTTCTCATCCTTCTCGCAATCCGCTGTGTAATTTCCCTTGATTCTTTAAACGAGAAGCTCAAAGAGATGATGAATACGCTCAGGTTCTTTTTTCTTTTTTCCTTTTTTCCTTTCTTTTTCTTTTCCTTTTCTTTTCATTTCTTTCTTTTTCTTTTCATTTCTTTCTTTCTTTTTTTTTTTTTTTTGCCAGGAGTATCACCACACCTTCAGCTATTTCAAGCAATGATGTGCTACAATCGCACCGTAATACCCGCACTCAATCGGAGATAATTCAACTTGCAGATCCGATGGAGGAAACGGATCGCTCTATTCAATTGTCGCTCGGGTTTCCCTTTATTAGCCCATTGAAAGGGGAGGAAAGGCGGTGCGTCGAGAGTGCAAACCAGCAGAATAGAAAAGGATTCAATCCACATTTCACTCACTCTATGGAGAAAAATATATAAATTGTAACGGGCAGTTTTGTTTGATCAGCCTCCCAACGGCCAATAATCATCGGTGGGCTGGTCGCCCACGCAGCTTCGGCTGGAGAAATGATCTGCCTCTGAACAAGCATGCGTCGCGAGCATGCATCCGGCGGCCGCGTTCTCAAGGTCTGCTGCATCTCTATCACATCACCGTACTGCTTTTCGTGCCATGAGAAAATAACGTTTTCCTTATGATTCCCCGGTCGAATCAACAGTCGACAAACTCGTCAAGGGTTGATATTGCGACCTGAACGCCAGTGACTGGGTTTCCATTTACCGGAAACACTCTAGCCAGTGTTAAGGAGCTCTTGAGCCCACCTCGCCTGCACGGCAATACACGGCTATGAAACCCGGAATATTGCCAGGGCAATCGATCCAAGAAGAACGACAAGTATTGTCGAGATAAATTGTCATTTTATTGGTTTATTTTACCCACCTTGGGTTTTGAGGAGTGATGAAGGTGGGTAGAAAGTCTTCCGATAAGTTACGAATTGCAAAACAGCACGAACCCACCTGAGCTGACAACACCCAACAACGAAATGCAAAATAAATCATGTCTCCGTATGGTGGAGTAAACATTGAACTCGTCCCATTGTTTCAGATTGGTCCCTTTCCTTGCACAGCTATGTATCACTTACATCTCTCTGATTCATGTGGTGGCGGTTTGTGATCGATAATACTTGTTGCCGTGCTCATGCTTGAACTAATGAACCTTCTTTGAAACTCCAGGTCGATCATTGACGGCTATTTTTATAGCAAGAAAATTTGTATTTAGTGTGGATCGCAAGTCGTACAGAACATGAACGCTGGCCGAGAAAATGTCCATCTCTTGCCCCCATTCAAGCCAACTGTCCAGCAGGTTCTTTGTGGCTGAATAAGGTGTACACGGGTTTAGCCACAGAATAAAAACCGCGATGATTTTGTTCTCTAGAACGATGGAGCTAATATGTCGTTGAAGGCTGGATGCAAGCGATGGTATTTGGGTGTCCACAGATGCTCGAGGGCGGTTTGATCCCCCTTTATCTCTCGGTCGATGCACCTACCATCCAAACGCCTAACTCCTGAAAATAACTGAAAGTCAAGTCCATTTGCAAAGAAAGTGCGAAAATTTCGTGTAAAGATCAACCTCCAACTGATTGATATAAATAGTAACTAAAAATTTGCTGGATGTTGTTGAGTCTGCCTTGTGTGTGGCTGTTCACACTAGTCCAACTAGCTCCAAGAGACAAAAGGAAACACAGAACCACCATCCTCCTCTCTTCCATCGATTCCTCCCTCTGTTACTCCATACCACGCAAGGAGGAGAAAGGCGCAGCAAAAGGGGAGCCTTTTCTTTTGAAACCATCCATGAAGTGAAAATCACTTCTCAATGACAAAACGTGTATACAACAATCAGGGTCACCAAACACAAACCGCCCAAAACCCAAGAGTCACTTGAACCAGAAGTGACCGTGTATTGCGGACTCAACACTTTACAACAAAAATACTCAGAATTGATAAATCAACCGCACTAGATGTGGGTATTGAAGGATCTGTCTTAACACCCTCCCCACCAGCACTGACTTCTCATTAAACTGTAAGAGTACACTTGTAGAAATGTCGTCCTGATTGGACGATAACGGAGGACCTGTTGGGATCATCTGCAAGGAAGTTAGTTCCTGGTAGCAAAATTGGTGTAAAACCTTCTTGTGTCAATTGCTTGACTTGTACCTACGTAAATTCAGAGAAGCAGTTGAGTTCATAGCTGTTACTATGCAGAGGAAGAGAGGTTGTTTGCAAGGTTAGAGTTTGGGCGTGTCCCCTTTTACCCCTTAACTTAAACCTTGTCGGCACGGAGAATACTTAGGTACCGAGGCAATTTATGTTGCAACATCGTTTCCCAAACTTAGGAGTGTTTTCTTCCTTCAAACCACGGAGAATCAGTAAAAGTCTGATCATATATTTTAGGCTCCCAGGGCTCCCAAGGTCTTACTTATCGCAAGCGAAACAATGCCATGTGGATGCTTTCTCGGCTGTATGCACCCTGATTATCAAGTTTGTTGATCACATCATCCTTGTCCTGGAGAAGGCATTTAACACTACTCTGGCCTAGAGCCTCTTCTGGTTGACGTGTATCCGTTCAAATCGATTTGCAAAAATTGATGGCGGGACACGATGGATGGCCTTTGCTGGTATTTGCAGGTGAGTGGTCCGGATGACATCAAGCAGTAATACTTCCATGTCGATTGCTGGAAACCAGAAAATAGGGAACCATGTGCTTGATCTACACTTGTCTTGTCTTATCCTTGACCTATGATCAGCCTGTGATGTCAGTATGAGAGCCATTCCGGCTCGATCTTCACAGTAAAGGCCACATTCTAGCGGCTTTTGATCCTTCCAGGGAAACAAATCTCCAGAACACCCTTTGAGCACCTTTCATTCCGCTCCCTTCCTGTGATATCATAATGACATCTGTCACCACCAACTTAAAACAAACCGTGAATAGTTCACATACTTCCTGGGTGAAGCAGTATATTATTTAATAATAGTACCAGTTGAAATTGCGTTGAAACTCATTGGAATGTCACAGAAAGTTCTAGACGTAGTTTTGCCAGATGTAATTTTGCTCTCTTCAATTATATTTTGTGTAAGGCAATATCATGGAAGCTGGAGGGACCGTAAAATATCAATAGGAAGAAAACTGTTTTGTGAGGCGCCCAGTAAATTTAAACGAAGTTAGATAACTAGCAAGGTGTGAGATAAACAGAGTTATCCATTAAAACAAAACAAAAAAAAAATAAAATTAAAAAAGAAAGAAAGAAAGAAAGATGATGATGAAATGCAGTGCATCTCTCACAAGCAATTATTTTCTGTCACAAGCGAGCAGTTCATTTTTTCTTCCTCTACAGAGCCTTAGGCCTTTCAGCCTCTTGTGAGAGTTATCATGCAGGTGACAAGTTTGGAGGGATAAAATCATCACATTTCTGATACAGGCTGCATGCGGGGTATGTGAATGGAGGTATTTCTCCGATCTTGATGACCAATCATTTATAAACATATATTTTTTTTAAACGAGTTTGGTCTTCCGTCGGATGCAACATGAAGAATGTAAGATGATGAAAGCCTTAGATAATTAAGATCTGGGTTGAAAACTCGGCTGGTTGAGAGTGGCAAGGCCATTTTCCCACCTCCTCTGCCTTGATTTCAATCGAAAAGGTGGTTGAGAATGTATGCACAACAATGAAACAAAATTCCGTGGAAGGATTCTGGTTACTTTTTTTCTTTTTTTTTCCTTTTTTTTTTCTTTCTTTTTTCTTTTTCCATTTTCATAAAATACCTAGCGGGTAATCGTACAGTACATTATAAGAATAGTAAACTTTGTTTCGCAATATGATGACATGGGGGTTTGACGATTTTCTCGTCGTTGCTGTTTTTCTTGCCACGGTTTGAAGCTGCCGCCTGTTCAACGCCCCTCGTATATTCCGAATGGCTGGTAAGCAATTTTGTCGTCTATGTGTACCTATTTGGGATTAGGGGCTACATAATGTGATATCCCAAAGTTGGGGGTGAACAATATAAACTCCCATATTTTATGTTCTGATTGGATGGACGATGGCTGCCAGCCTGCCATGGCGATCCCTGTGCCGCCATGGCCCATGGCTCATTCCACGCAGAGAAGATCATCAGCTAGCGTTGGCTCATCCAGCGATCCTCTCGTGTTTCAGACTTTCAGCAATCGTGTTTGGGCCTTGGAATCATTGGGCTTTTTGCTTGGCACAACTTCTTGGTTCTTAGCGTCCGAAGAGATGTATTATCCTCATGCTGATGATATCATAGCGTGAAGTATATTATTCAGAAACAATGAAGCCTCATTCGCACTATTGCATATGTATCAATCAGCTCGTCAAATGAAAAAGAGCGACATGTACACCACAAGGTTGCTCGGGAAGGAAAGGACTTTAAGTGGTCGACATTTTATTTCCTGCTGGAAAGAGAGTGTGAGCACGAGTGATGATTTGAGGAGGTTGAGAAGTGTCACCCCCGGTCCAACACTAAACCGAAAAAAATGGGCCTCTGCGGCACCGCTGGCACATGGGACGATCATCCCACGTGTCCTATACCAAGAAACCACCCATGGATGTCTGGGATTTGTGCTGGTGTCGTGCGTAAAAGGTTGCACCCGCTCGCCTGCTTGCGCACACCAGGAGCGTGGTCAGGGCGCAGCGTGGTGGTCAAGGACGCAGGACGCTGAATTTAAAATAAATAAATATGGATTTTCCTTGTAACTAACTGCTCCATATTGCAAGGAAAGGGATGTGCATTTACAGACGTAGTATATGTGTACTATCCATGGATAGTTACCTAGTTTACCTAGTTATTCCGAGTGGTATGAGCAAAATTGCGAATGGGATTTGGTCTTGACCATAGCGTTCTTTTCTCTGGTCGGTTTGAAAACAATCGGGGTCCTGCACGGAATCAGATTATTTCCCTCAAGGCTTAACTTTCAGTTCCCTCTAGGATTGCGATGGGATATTTCTTTTATCCTTTAGAATGATTTCATACCTTAATCTTCTTGGAACCACAAGCCTCTTCGCTGCTCGACTTCAAGGAAAACGGGCTCTTGGGTCATGGGAAACAAGTATCCTACCGTATTGGAATCCCTGAAAATCCACCAGCCAGATTTTCTTGAATCACGGAAACTCCCAAACTCCTTTTAGCTTTTGAATTGCCATCTCAACTTTTCCCGCGAAATTCTATTTAGCCTGATCATGCCATCGATAACCTTGGGATGACAGGGACGAATCCGGTGTTTCCTCGTCAGGAATAACATTTCATGATGTTGGGCACGAAGTCGCATGCCTCAGCAGCAGCATCACCTCCCCGTTATCATATTATAATCTCGAACAATGTTCGCACCATTAGAGACAACGTGAATCAGCTCAAATGCAGATCGTACAGATGCGTCCTTTCCTCGTTGCTGACCGCTCATGTTCTGAGCTCCGTTAATCTAGATGGTCGGCATTTCCCATCGTTTGACCAGAGTCGCGCGCTGTTGGAGGATTGTAGATCACAATCTCCGTAAACATTATTATTTTCTTGCGAAGCCTTCCCGTGTCACATCAAGAGCACGTTTTCAACTTGGCTCCCCAAAGTGCGAAACTTTAGATACCATAAACTAAACGAGGGCTGGGAGTTCTCTCCCTCCAGATGGCATTTTAAGCCGTCTCATGAACAAGCCACAGCAACACCACTTGTCACAATCGACGCCCACATTCGTTGACTCGTTATCGATGAAGACATGATTGGATCCATGGATTCACAAAATAAGAAAAGAAATGAAATGAAAAGAAAAGAAATGAAGAGAAATGAAGAGAAATGAAATGAAAAAAGAAAAGCAAACCCCATCCCTCTGAGAGATTGTTTCCATTTGGCCATGAGCGGACGGCGGCAACTACTGTAAGCTTAGACGGACGTAAAAGTTCCACATTATGTGTTTCTCCGCAGATGAAGAGTATTTGCAACCAACCAAGCCCCATACATACTTTTTTTAACCGAAATTACCTGGGAGCAAGCGATTCGTCAGGACCCTCACGGCCCAACTCTCTGGTCCCCAAGCTCGTCCGTTGTCGCTGCCGCTAAGCACCATGCAGGAGAATCATGAACATCCACCTCTTTTCTAATTTAGGGTCCGGGCGCTTAGTGCCAACCTTGGACTGATTTGCCTTTCACGTGGGGAGGCCTGAAGGCTGACAAGTGACAGTGCGGACCTAGGTTCTGAGGAGCAGCTGGTATGTTCCTGGGCCGCCCCATATTAAGTCAATTTGGAGGGTGGATGGATGGGTGGGCGGGTGGAGGTTTCCAGCGGGTCCCCGGATGTCGTCGTGTCTTTAGCAGTTTTCTTCCGGGCATCCTCTACGTGCGTTGCAGATTACTCGTTATATAGCCGTCGAGATCATCACAGGAACCGAGCCCTTCGTCCAATTTTGAAACAACCCATTGTGAATTGGGCAAGACTAAAGGCTGGCATGTTTTCCTTCTTGCAGACTCGGACTCTAGTAGTCTGTTGTAAGCTCATTGGAATTTATTTGCTCTCCTGAGACTTTTGTTCAAAATTTGAATTAAACTTAACTGTTAAGAAGAGCTTTTGATGCATAATCCTTTTTAACAAAATTACCGGAGAATTGGCACTCCGAACAACGCTAGTAAAAACCACCTGGAGATGGCATCCATCCATCCACGGATCTCTGTGGAATCATGCCCTTGGTTGGATCCATGGATCGATCAATGGGTCCATCCACATATTTCATGTATTGTCACATCTATCCGACTCCATGTTATACACATCCAACGATATCCGTATACTCCCTTCCATTCTCAAGACGGAAACGGGGCCATCAGTTGTTTGGAAGAACAAGCAAAGAGCCCCCCGTCATCCTCCCCCTTGAAAGTTGGTTGGCCGTTGCTCCCACTCAACTACAAACCTACCAGCTCACCGCTCTGGCCTCTCTTGGCCCCTCGCAATACGCCATGCCGGGTCGGAGAAATCCCGAATCACTGGCAAGCTTTGGCTTGCCCAGAACTCTAAGCGAGATGCGCTAAACGGATGGACCCTGTCTCAGACTGCACCTGGTGTTATCCAATATTGTTCTAATTTAGACCCGCAGAAGAACACGAAAGTCCCCGAGAACTTTGGAAGAGAACAAGCCAGGAGGCAGTGCGATGGATGTGACCCCATCAGCCTTTCATTCTCTGGTCAAGAGGAAGAAACGAGATTCCCCTCTACTACTAAGGGACTGGAATCGAGAGAGAGTCAACAGGGATTGATGTGTATTGGGCCCATGTCTTTGTATGGAAATGAGACTTTAAAAAATGGCAGTTATTCTTCTGCTACGCCTGACCTCTGGGAAGGGGTTGCCATGAGATCTTTCAAGCCGGCCTCCCGTCCAGCAAGTAAAGCCATGGGATGGGTTCGACCAAAATTGTGTTGCAGGTTCTCGAAGAATTCTTTGGGAAGATCTACGGCTGGAATAACGACTCCTTTCACATGGTACGCCTGGTGGTGTAGCGATGGTCAATTTATACAGATTATATCCAGGCCTCCAAATCCCAATGACCAGAGCTTTTGGCATCCTTGGAGCTTTTGGACTTAAAGAGAGCCATTGCGGTTAACCTTTGGAGATAATTTTTTTGCGAGAAGCAAAGGCATTTTTCTCAGGCCCAAACTCTCTCATTTGGAATCTAATGTTCATTTCTGTATTGGAGAATCAAGCTGATTATCCTAGTTAGTGTCTATTCTGATGTGTTGTTCTGCCTAGCAACTTTCGCTAAAAGGTATCATCGTCTGTTCAGCTCCAGGGCTATTTCTGAACAGTTGCCAGGGGTGTTAGAGAGTCACCATCCCATGTCACCACCTTATCTCCAAGGGACTACTACTATCTCGTGTTCCAAGAATCAGGTGCCCAAAAGTGAAAAGAGGTGTCGGAATCTTTGGCTTTTTCCTCTACAGGACTTATCGCCCTTTCTCTGATATGGCGAGATAGGTTTGACTGAAGAACGTCCAGATATTAGTTGGCGTTGGAATGACCCCCTTTGATCTGCTGCATGGTCGAGTTTGAGAAGGGCGGTTGAGGCGCGATTCTTAACCCCTGTCCGTAGAGTAGTAGTGATCCCAGAACCCAACCGACGGAACACAGCAAGGGCTACAGACACCTTAAATCGCTGTCATACACCGCGTCTTCTGGCATTGATTACGCTTCCCGCATTCGTTGTTTCTGGAAAACTACTTTTACCAGCATTTCCCTGGATCAGGAGGTTCGCGCCGGTCCAACGGGGCCAATTTGCTTAGATTTGCAAAACTCACATGGAATGCACCGCTTGACACCCGAACCACCTAATTTGGAGCGGAGAACTCCGGTGGTGAAATCCGAACCTCTTCCGAGGAGGGGATGATAATGCTTGAACTGCCACTCTGTCATTCTCCCATCAGTCAATTTTATCCACAGTCATGTTTCAGTGCTTCAGCTGTTACCTCATTGGTTTGCATTCTATACAAAAGCGTGCTGTTGGTTTAGCTGGCCGAATGTTAACTTAACTGCTACCTTTTACCAGGTTTTCCTTCAGTGCCATTTGCCTGATTTGGTATTTGCTAATTTACCAGCATCTTTTTCAGTATCAGCTTCGAAACTTCATTAATTCCAATTTTGGAGCAGTTCATCTTGTCAAGATAATGAAAAAAAACATTCCCTCCTGGACCCAGATCCAGTCTCGCCACTCTGTCACCACTGCAAACACTGGCAGGCTTCTTCCCGCTTCTATAAAATAAATGATGAATTTACCTGCACTGCTAACCCAGAGATCTTCCTTCAAATACTAGATGATTGGCCTATCACCCTACCTCAGCTGAAGTTGCGTCTGGGATTCCAGAGTTGACAACTTGGATAGGCATATTTCAAAGTATACGTAGACAAGCTGATACGCTGTCTCCGGATGCAAAGGCTGCGTATACAAGGGTAGTTTTAGTTCCAGTTATGCCGTTCAAGTTGAGCCCTTCAACAAGATTTGGCTTTTGAAGGTTCATACAGTATACCTAGGTATGTATATGTATAATTGTCGATAATTGGTCCCATGACATTTCCTTCCCATGTCTGGTCAAATACAACTTTGTCCACTGTAACACATATTCAAGAATCATCCTGTCATGCAGAAATTGGGTAGTCATACCAATACAACTTGCAGGAGAGAGGGGGTTGGGGCCCTTTTGGGGGATGGTGTTTTCCACATCGGGATCCTATTCTGAATCAGGGGTGTCATTAAGGATGCCAAAATGCAGTTTTACTCCCTACCGGGTGGTAAAAGATATGACATATCCCGCAGACAGCCTGCCTCTATCTCGATGTTCCTCGACTTCTGACGTTCAACCGTCTTGAGCATATATGGTGTTTTTGGTATGTATGCAATGCACCGTACATACAGTGTTGAAAAGATAATGGCCTGAAACTATCCAAGTTCGAACTACCATCACTCGCTTTCTTTAATGTTACCGCGTTATACGCCATATTCTGGTTAGCATGTTTTCATGAGCGTTTTCAAATTTTTCAAATTGGTTTGTATTGGGAGCGATATCTCTTATATATACCTACATATCCACATATGAATACCCTCACAAACCTAGGGCGGTGATAGCCCTATCCGCATGAACGTGATTTCAATTTGGCATCACTAGTGGAGAAAGGTCAAGGAGAGGATAAAGCAGTAAAGGACAAAGCAGTACAGTGAACAAAAACAATGTAATAGAAAATATCAACGCTTATATTTCCATCGGACATGGAGTTTCCCCGTTCACATATTTGTATAACGAAACCAGCTTGTATATATTGTCATCCCATCCGGCCTGTATCGACACCACTGTTTGTCCAACTCACCTGTTGGAATTTATTGGGAACGACTTAGTGAAGCAGAGTTGAAATTTTCCAACATGGAATCGGTGCTGTTCCCATTAAACGAGGCCTTGGTATGCCGCTTGCCATCTCGGATCCGCTGCTAATTCTTCATGGAGTGTGCGGGACTCCGAATGGATTGTCCCTAACGGGGAGATTGGGCTTGAGGAGCGGGGTGTCAACTTATTGCGCGTAAGAACTGAGCGTAGACAACTGTATTGACGAGGACAAAGACACGGGTTGCTGTGGAGCGTTTTCATAGAATCGTAGCTACTCTGATGGTGTGGAATTGTTCGAGACTCAGAATTGTATGAGTATGCCATGTCAGACTGGTGTACTGAATAGAGAGTGCTTGAATTATCCGTTTCCGCGTGTTCAATCTTAGAACAACTTTGGAAAGAGTCAAAATGGAACGAAGGCCTTTTTTGAATCTCGGGCTCCTCAGAAGTTTTGGGTGGGCGGGGACGGCATAATCCACAAAGAAATCTTTCAATATAAACTAGCTGGTTCTTGCGTAGTCTAGTTAAGGTGCCGTTGTTGGTTGTTTCGATACTAGAGGGCTCTGTGTGATGGCGCGTGATGGAAATGAAGCTGGAAATAACTCCAAGGAAGATGTAGATAAGTAGACATGAGGTGAGGAGTCCTTGGGTAATAATTATGGCAAACCCGATAATGGTAGTAGTACTTCGCTCCAGATTGAAATGGGGGTAGAAAAGAGAAGATAACGCCACAGTAATCACCTTGCTGAAGCCGAGAAGGTAAACCATCAGAATATTGATGCGAGTGGTCTCAAAGGGTCTGAGCCAGCATAGGCAAACAAGAGCAATACACTCGACTGCGAGTAGGCCGAACACCTGGATCATTGCATTGCTCGAATTCACTCCGATGAGACAAGCATGTATAAATTCGTAGCCCAACCACACCGTAAAAAACCACCATGTGGATCGCCGATAACCAGCCGAAAGCCAGCCAAACTGTTGCAGAAACCTTGTATCTTCGTGAATCGGAGTCTGATGTATAAATGGAGAGATATTGTATCCATTTCACATACCTTCCACCAGAGAATAGACACTAAAACTTTCATAACCTCTTCGCTTTGCCCCAAACGACTTCGTCTCGCCAGTTGATAGCAGGGGAAGTGCCCAAAAACCTTTGTACAAACCACAAGTAACCGATCCGAATAGCACACAAATTTGCCGCTCCTTAAGCGGTACGATACAGCATAACCCATTATTGTCCACATACCAATGAATAGTAAAATAAAGCCCGTCGAGGAGAGCGCAATGACAGAAGCCGATCCACCTAAAGAAAGCTGGAATAATGCAAGAGATGTGATCATAAAGAAACCGATAAAAAGGGCCTGCAATACGGCTGAAGCGAGGAACGTACGCCAATTCTTTCGAAAGCAAGCAAACCGTTCTTTTTTTACAGGCTTCAAACTGCAATAACCCTCAACAATGAGCTTAATGAGGATCATTAAGCTTGCCACAGTAAAAAAAAAAATAAGAAACCAGATAAGAACTGTCAGAAAGGAATTTGATGTCGGTATTTTCTCCTGTGCAAGCGTGCCTGCAAATCCGTGGTTATCTCCGGGTAAAGAGAGGCCAGGTTTTATAGCTGTGCCAAACCACGGAGATCTCTTGGATGAACGGAATATATCTTGTTGTAACAGCAGAGAGCCAAAATGTTTTTGTGGCATTTCCAGGTTGCTTGTAGCCGGGTGAAGTTTTCTGTTGTATATTTTGGAGATATTGAATCTGGGCCTAGAATTACTATTGGAGATTCTAGCTAACGATTCCCCCCTCTGGCGGTTGTCTCCTCTTCGGGTTCCAATAATTTGATTGATCGCACTTTGCATTTTTTCGTTGTAAATAATCCCAGAGAACCAGGCAAAGTTTGACCAGAAGGCGACCAACACGCTTGGCCAGTTAAGGGGCAGTGCACCGCTAAGATATATGTGGTGTAAGATCGAAAATGATACGAACACAGACGGAGAATGAGTATAATTACTCCAAAATAAAGCGACATCCGCCCCATATATCGCTAACGCGGTAGATGAAAAGATGCCGCAAAGGACTAACATTCCCAGAATACTGGTTGCTGCAAAAGGATGCGCAAGGGTAACACCGTTGGTGACAAAGGAGGAATAGCAACCCATTTCTGACTGAGAGGAATTTGCAAACAGCCGAAGAACTGCCGCTCCCTCGAAATCCGGTATTTTCAGGGCGACCTCTGGTAACAAAGAGATATCAAATGTCGAAAGGGGAAGAATTCCATTTGCTTCGATTGGAATGCTCGAATTCATGGGGCATAAGCTACGCCGTTGAGATCAATTAACCACTAGTATATATCAATTTAGGGGATCCGAATAGGCAAATACCTGGGCATATTCGCGCTGCAAGGGTTAAGGATAATCTCGAATCTGCTTTTGCCATAGGCAAACAGGCCAATATACACTGGGTCTCGCATTAGATAGTGACCCTGGTTAAAAAATCATACGAGATCGCCAAAGGGCACACTCATCAGGTTCTCATGTTCAACGGAAGTCTGTCCTTGCAAGTGAAATACTGCCGTCATATTGTCCCTGTAGAGTGCAGCGCCGAAACGAGTGATATTTATTTGAGAATTCCCCAAGCAATCACCAAAGTATTTCGTGTATAATGAGGGTCTTCTGTAATCGTCTAAGGGAGGATGCTTTTCATTTCCTTTGCTGGACGGGGCCCAGCTATATGCACTAGACCCTGGAGTGCATCGCGCAAGCGAGAGGAGTAATGAAAGAAGAGAGAATCGCATACATACTGAGGGTAGGAAGGCCATAGTGTAAGAATCGGGAGCAGTGAGGAGAGAAGAATATAGGGAATGTCGGTGGGATTGCACCTATTGGGTTCTTGAATGAATGAAAATCCGATGTCGCATTCGGATTAAGCAGCTGGTAGAGACTGTAAGAGAGGAGATAGGGACTCTGGGTTTAACTTCAGTGCATATCGAGCATTCTCATAAATGAAATTATATCTCTGCGAGGGCCACTGACAAACTCGAAGGAACTTTGCAATGCCATAAATGAGCTAGAGTGCCATGATTGGGGAATATAAGAAGCAAAGGGGAATACAAGATCAAACTGACAAAGGAAGGGGAAGAAAGAAACAGATAAGAAGAACAGGAAGCAAGAAAACGCGTAAAATGTGACGTTGAAATGCGAAGCGTTAAGCGGCGGACATTGGGATGTAGATGTAAGTTGGGAGACGCCAAGAGACGCGATAGACGCGGCTGTTGACGAAAAAGGAAATATGAGGCTCCGAGTTCTGCCCAAAGAAAGGGATACTTTCCCCGACAACGACACTGTACCATATATCAACAAACACTGCACCATGCGTTAAACCACCATCCGTTTTATTTCTCTTATATTCATGCATTTACTAAAGTTAGTGGTATAAAAATAACGAATCAGATTCACTGCCAACAATCGTCGGCTATCTTTTCCTGTCAACTATAGCTTCGGTAGTTCCAGTCACACCATAGGACAATCTGTGGCTTAGCTGTGAGCACTGGAACTTTATTGCGTTTCTGGACAATGCTGACAATATGACAGGCATTGCCAAAGACAGATATAGGAACTGTAATAACCGCACAAATCGAAAGATATAGCAGAATGAGCAAGTGAAAATCGGAACTTAACATAATCATATCAGACTCTTTCCACCAGGAGAGCCAAACGAGAGCAGCATTCACTAACTCTTAAAACAACCGCAACGGAAAACGTGTCTTGCACCTGTGATAAAATTGGCCTCAATATCGAAATGGTGGAGCTAGCCGCTTTACCAACCGAAGTTATCCTTTATGTAGCAGAGCAGCTGCAGTCACAGAAAGCTATCAATTGGTTTTCTCAGACAAATCGACGCTTCCATTGTATTCTGGATCCTTATCTCTATCGATTCAATGCTAAACACCGTCGCGCTTCGGCCTTGCGCTGGGCAGCACGTCATTCAAATATCGAAGTTGCCAGAAAGTCACTGGATGGAGGTGCCAACATCCATATCAGAGCAAAGATATGCCCTCACTTAAATGTATTCCAAGAAGCTGTGTGTGCTCGGAATAGAATCAAGAAATGGCTTGCGAGGCCCTGCCACCCTAATGAATCTAGGCGGCAATATTCTCTGCGCGTGCATGATATGCCTTGCCCAAAAAATGACGCAATGCTTCTGTTCTTACTCGAAAGGGGGGCGTATGTCGATAGTATGTTCAAGAGTAGAGAGACACCCTTGTTCGCTGCAGTCAACCAACCAGATACGCAGCTTGTCAAACTTTTGATAGAGAATGGAGCTAACGTCAATTTTTCCAACGATGTGGGTAATACGATTTTACACGAGGCAGTAACAGGTTGTAACGCTTGGGTTGTCCGTTTTCTGCTAGAAAATGGTGCCAGCGTTCACTCCAGGAACGTCTTCGGATGCACCCCGTTGCATCTCGCATCCAGAGGAAGAATTCTGGTCCAACTATGGGCAAATATCGAACGCAGTAACTGTTTGCCCGGTATGAGTTCGCGGTTCTGCGCAACACAATGCCGGCGGAAACTGCTAGAATGTGACGCAGACGCCGGAGCCAAAGATCCGTATGACCCCGACGTTCGATGTGAAGTAGTTCAAATTTTGATCGAAAGTGGTTCAGATCTCGAAGCCAGAACGGTTGACGGGGTTACCCCAGTGCTGTTTGGAGCTTTGTATGGTGCCGAACTGAAAGTACTTCGGGTGCTGGTTGAGAATGGTGCAAGAACTGATATCGAGAAGCCGGATGGAACCTCGCTAGTCAGTTTAGCGGAGTCTCGCCATGAGTTAACCGAAATTTTGATCGCCAATTCACCGCAGCCTGTGGATCACGATTGAAATGCTGAACTAGCATGCTGAGGTTGTTTTACACCAATATAACAAAGGGCTTGGGGCGAAAAATCACCGAGGAAGAATGATTGAGGAAGACGTGGCAGAAAATCGAACTTTTTTTCAACTGTACGTAGTTCACGTTTGCCAGGCTCAATACTGAAATTTGTTCAGGTTTTGAGGTAGTAGAGCTATTTTTGTTCCAAGAATGATGTTTAGTCCAGAGAGGTGGCTGGCAAGGGTTCTCAGTTTGTGGAGAGAGGAACTCGGGTCCTAATTAACCAGTTAGTTAGCCAACTAGCGAATGACAGCGCGATTTTACTCCCTCAGATTCCCTGGAGAGGCGACACCTTCCGATTCCTATCTCGCGTTACGCCTCGAAAGGTATTCCCACACTCAAGAGAATGACAGATATCCATGAAGAAATATATTCCCCCAACTACATTCCAACCAATGGCCTCCATGTTTATCTCTCAAACGCAAGTTGAAATAGAATCATTTAAACTGCAGCCAATCACAAATAGGATAAAAAATTTATTTCAAGGGCACTTACCATTTTTTCCTCCCTCACTAGTCCGATAATGACATGGATGTCTTGATATGTCAAAGCAAAATGCCCTAAGCCAGTTGGTCATTCAGTGCAGAGAGTGTCAAACCCGCTATTCAGTTTGAACCATTTCAAAGTTGCGGAGTAGGATATGACTTCCATCAATGAGGGAGGTTAAATTATTTGCATATGACTGCATTATCCTTTCTCATGGTACAGACGTTGCAAAGTCATGGGCATGTTTGCGAAAGATTTCACATCAGGCGATTTGTCGTGCTTAAGCTTCGCAGTAACTCCGCGGACAAGGGATCCAGATCGAGCCGGTTAGGGGAATGAGAAAAAGGGTTGACGGTTTCCGTACGTAGCGGTTTGGGCGGTCGACAACGGACAGGTAAACATCGTATGAAGGCAGTGATAGTTCTTTTGCATTGCGTTTCCCGTAGTTGAGTGCAATACATTATGCACCTATCCAGCCGGGGCTTCTGTACCCTAGCTAACTAAGTCCTTGGAAATTGAGTTCATAAACAGGACTCGAAATTCGGAGCGAAGCGCGTTGAAAAGCTGTTTTGGAGGATTTACAGCCACAACCTTTCCGTGCAAGAACTCTCAAGGCGAAGAACATTGCGGTTTGACTCGTAGACATGGGTTGGTAACAGCAATAAAATGAACATTTTCTTCATTAATCATTCAGGTCTCTCTTGTGAGGAAGTTGAAATATATATTCGTCACTCTTTTTCATAGAAGGTTGGTTGGTTGCCCCGAACTTCCATGCTGCAGATGACATGGACTTGCTCAATTTCTTTGACTTCCAAGCCGATTGAATCCTGAGATGCGCAGGTAGGCAACTAGATCCTGTATCCTAGAGACTTTTCCTTAATCCTTGCATCCCCCACAAAATTTGTAACAGCCCAGTCTGAGCTTGCCTGCAGCAGTTACCGAAGTCAGGATTCTGGACTCATGGCAGCTCTAGGCCGGGGGCGCTAATAAGAACAGCACAATGCTCTCACACGGTGGTTGCTAGTGATTTTTCCTCGCACGAATTCCATCCGTGGATGTTTTTGTGGCTGTTAGGCGCGGTCAGAATATCTGGTATAACGTGTCAGTGATCATTTTCTCTCCTCATTTTATTTTGATGAAGTTCAGCTTGTTCAAAGGGCTGAGGCGTTCTGGGCACGTGTCTTATCCTAGTGCGAGTTAGTTCTTCCCAACCGCTCGGAGCCCTAACTCGACTTCACTTCTTCTTTTCTCCAACTGGCATGAGATATATGTGCTTCCATGTATCTAGAGTACATATACATGACTCCAACCGTGTTGAATACCGTGTTGAATACCGTGCCTAATAATGTCCGCAAATAGAGTCATGAAGCTGGCTTCAGAAAAACAATTCAGATGCACCATTTGTGACCGCTTGTTTACTCGCGTTGACCACCTTAAACGTCATCAGCTCCGCCGTATGTGCCTAGTCCTCTTCCATTGCAACTTTGATGTTGCGACTCTAGGCGTTTTGTATGCTGAAGTGTAACATAGATTCTGGACTTAGGCCCTATTCTTGTATATTCTGCACTGCTGCTTTCGCTCGTTGGTAAGGCTCCCTCCGGCTAACTTTCTCTGCCTGTAGTTTCTGATTATTTTTTTTGTCTAAAGCGATAACTTGCGCGATCATTATCAAGATTGCCCCCAGCGAGGAGATCGACACATACCGGAGACTAGCCAAAGAGGCAGGAGGCGTCACGCGTGTGAATCAGAAAGTTCCTTATTCTCCCGTTCAGTATGCCTAGTTTAGTAATTTATGTTTACAGTGCACATCCATGAAGTTACGGTGCGATGGGAGTTCTCCTTGTGGTGCATGTGTGAAGAGAAATATTCCGTGTACTCGTCACCGTTCAAAATCAGGCGATGACAGTGAAACTCGGACCGGTAAATCATCTCTTCTAACCATTGAAATACTAGCCGACATACTGTTTATGCGCTAATCCCCGTGAATAATTTTATACTGTCAACTTGCAGCCTCGACGAAATCCGATGATTTTGATCAGACTTATGAGAGAGGCTCAGTCAAGTTCCTTCTCAATGGAGGTACAGACAGCTTCACAAAAGGCTTTCACCTCCCTTCCCGCTATGATAGGGCTCCGGTGCTCTCCTGGGCTGACAACAATCAAAATCATAACGTCGGCCACATGAACGAGACCGTTAACACCCAATCACCCTTAGGCATGCAAAATAGCACACATACCCATCATCCAGTATCGGTATCGGGCATCGAAAGTCAGCCTGTTGATGTGGCATTTTACAATGACGGATTTCTTCAATTTTTCAATGGCGGATACAATATTGGTCCGCGCTTACAGCCTGATCCAACCCCAACAACATTTACCCATGCCCAAACTCCCGCAAATTCCATTCAAGCGCTTCCCCTAGCGCCGTCGACAGAGCAATATTTTGAACACGAGAGCCCCTATTCGACGAACTTGATAAATTCAATCCTGTCGAAATGGTGGACTCTTGAAATGGACGATGTTACACCAATTGCTATTTCTCAGGAATTGCGATATCTCTTAACTACACAAAGAATCCACAAATTTGTTTCCCTCTACTTTCGGAACTGGCACAAAAACTGTCCAATGATGCACCAGCCGTCGTTTGATTCGGAGACGGCCAATCCGTATTTGCTTGCTGCTGTTGTCCTTATGGGGGCAATATATTCTGACAACGCGAACGAAAGGATCACGGCGAAAAGGCTGCTAGATCTAGTCGAGGCGTTTATATTTTCCACGGAAGTATTTTCTCAAGATTTCGAAATTGCTCAATCATACAAGGCGCCTCATGCCCAACTGGATATAAAAACAGACTGGAGGACCTTTCAAAATTTCCAAGCGGGATATCTGATTTTTTTGGTTCAGTATTGGGGAGGAAGTAGAACTGCAAGGAATCGAATGGTGCAGATTCGGTTGGGGGAGGTGGTCAAGGTTGGTTCAGCATGATATCCTTTTGATTCTCTAATAGGTGTAATAAATTAGCTGACTTGCGGAAGATTGCACGCCAAATGCTACTGACAAAATGCCGACATGACCTGGAGGACCAAATGAGCGAATATCTTTGGCTTCAAAAAGAGTGCCGGATAAGGTTGGTGTTTTTGATCCCTGTTAGTTCCAACGGTGTCATCGGATATGTGTAGTTAACGTCACCTAGAACCATGATCGTCATATCAATGATCGACTCTGCAATGCCGTTTTATCAAAATTATCCTTCGAGGTTGACGAACATCGAACTTCAATGTGACTTGCCCTGTCAAGAAACCTATTTTGCAGCACGGAATCCGTTTCTGGAGCCTGACTTTCGGCTTAGCCGGGGGATGACGGTATACCAGGCCTTCCAAAGCCTTTTTGTGGAGCAAGGATCTGTCCGTCCGCTATTCGTTCACCGCGGGACAAACATTCTGCATTTGGGAATAATGGATATGTTCCTTCTCATTCATCGTAGGTTATACGAACAGAACCACTATTTCAGGAAAGAAGAGGCTGACGTGTCTAGAAATCTACTCCTATATCCATATGCACATGAACCTTTTGATGCCGCTATTAGGAAAACGGAACTCAAATCAACCTGAATGCGGGACTGTCACTCGGATCAAGCTTGCTCTTGAACACTGGCGATCGCTATGGATCTCTCTTCGTGCCGAGCTACCCAATTGTGAATGGGAGAGGGTGGGTTTCTTCAAAGGAGCCTACAATTTCTGGCTCGTATCGCAGTTGCTTATTAGTAAGGATGCTGCGGTGGATATCCTCATGAGAATGGACGTCAACTGCGAAGATAAACTGAGCCAGCTGAAGGCCCTTCTACCTGATGACAACGATTAATATCTATCAGATATGAGCCATCTTCAACACCAGCAGCAAGTCACGGACGGAATCCTTCAAAGTATAGATAAGGCGCGAGATACTCTTTGTTATTTGGTGGCTACTTGACTGTCTCTGCAGAATATTATGCCACAAGCTACCAATAATATATGCGGACAGGAGATATAGTGCTTAACTTACGGAGCGGATGTTATAATGGCAGCTCTTCTCCATTCCCTTTCCTGCAACGGTCGCTTCCTTCATTTCCCATTCTAATTTCGTTTTCAATTATTGGGAGTGGATTTTGAGTTCTATACATGACTCCAATTTTCATTGTTCATTTGCCCTTTTTTTTGATTTGTTTTTGATACACTTGTCTTCCTCGTTTCTGTGTTTATTATTTCTGTTTTTGCCCCAATTTTTTTGGAACCTAGATACCCAGGTGAACTAGTCGCTTTTTGCTGCCCTCTTTTGTCGATCGTTTATAACTACCCTTTTTGTCTTATTTCGTTTGCAAATCCACCTAAATATGCCAACCGCACATATTCTAACTTGCACTTCATTATATTTACCTTATCCGTTATATAAAGCATAGCCTCTTCGGCATTTTCTTCTTCTCCTGTTCTCCTATCTTCTTTTTGGAATTTCTCTTTCTGTCTCTATATCTGTTATTTCATGCCATACAATTCTACCTGGAAAACCAACCAATTTTTTGCAATTTTTTAATTGTAGTTCTATGGGTTTGGCTATTCAGGTATTGTCAGGATGTTCAGATTAAAATTTCTGATCTTTATCACACTACCAATCCAGACAGGAACTGGGGATAAGTACTGATTCAATTGCCACTCTTGAAATAAATTGAGAGGGGACATTTACGAGTTGTCCTTGTGGGTTGTAACAACAAATTGACTATAATAATAAAGTACCCGGCCTATTGAGTCCACGGTAGTGACCATTTTGCTGATGAGTCAATAACTTCAATCCAACTAATGCACCTATAATATGTGCATCAGTGGATTTTGTTGGTGAAAGGTGTCAGCATTTTAACTTACTGTGAATACACTGCGAGGATGTTCACACAACATCAAATGTTGAGGTTAAAATAAACTACTCCGGGATCGGGATGATATTTATTCCGAAGATCAACTTTTCACTCTAGCGCATAATTACAGCCGGATAATTATAATCCCGATACCACGCTGACTAATCCTTGAAGTCAGGCGAGACCGCAACGACAAGCAAAAAAACCCTTGACGGCACGAATCAACCAGCAGCCATTCAGCTAAAACACTCGAAGCCCTCTGCTCAAACCAATCCATTTGGTACGTGAACCTTTGCTGTCTCCATTAGATCATTGGGAAAACGACCCTGTTGCGGCCTGCATGCTTGCCCTTAACCTCTCCCCCACAAATACCCCGTCGTGCATTTTAACCGATCGTTGTGCGGAACCCTGATTAATTTCGCCGAATTGTTGCGCCTTGCATTTTTCTGACAAAGACGGTTTGAATAGATTTGTCCTCCGTGCCCTCCGTGCCTGCCTCCTTCATTTGCGCTGGTGTCCTATATTTTCTTGCAGTCAATTACCCATCATGGATCAAGCAAAGTTGGCTAGACTCCAGCAGAGTGTGCGAATTGGTATGTGCTCGACACGCTGAACTCTTTCTGCATTAGCTATTCCCAGGGTAAAAACATGGGCTGACCATCTCTAACTAAATGGGTTGTTTTTTGCAGGGTACGTATTCTGAATGATAAGCCATTTGATTGTTTCGTTGCTTTCCGATGATAGGAGGATGGATGATTTGGTTGCTATGACTCTTATCATGAAGAGGGGGAACATATTTTCTGGTGTTGGTGGCGGCAGCTAATGATCTTTTGTCCCTTGTGTTTAGAGGCAAGGGTACCCCGCGACGCAAGACGAAGAAGGTCCACAAGTCATCCGGAACCGATGACAAGAAGCTCCAAACGTCGCTGAAGAAACTGAATGTGCAGCCCATCCAGGCCATTGAGGAGGTTAACATGTTTAAGGAGGATGGAAATGTCATCCACTTCGCTGCTCCAAAAGGTGCGTTGTTGCAGGCCCCCATTACTGAGCTTGTTATAATATTCGAATTTTCACGACTAACGTATTCCCCCCCTTCTTCTAATCTTGCATTACAGTCCACGCCTCCGTCCCAAGCAACACCTTCGCTATCTATGGCAACGGTGAGGATAAAGAGCTCACAGAGCTCGTACCTGGAATCCTTAACCAACTGGGGCCTGACTCTTTGGCGTCCCTCCGCAAGCTGGCGGAGAGCTACCAGAGCATGCAGAAGAGAGAAAGCGGCGGAGATGGCAAGAATGTCGAGGAGGAAGACGATGATGATATCCCAGATCTAGTTGATGGAGAGAATTTCGAGAGCAAAGTTGAATGATCAAGGAGAACTAATCCAAAATCATCTAAACTATCTCCGCCTAGAAAATTTCATTCTCACTGTCATCTCACTTACCATGTGTGATTTTATTCCTTTTCCATGTCTATGTTTACCAGCAGCGGCAAGCAGAGAGGAAAAGAAGAATCGGAAGAGCACTTTTAACATGCTGAATATGAAACAAAGGAAGAAACATTGCAGAATATGTAAAATCCGCAGGGTGATCTGAAGGCTTTTCTCGTGTCTATGTTTGATTACCAATTTGCTCTTTTCGTCATGGCATGCTTTTGTTGCGCTAGTTTCCACCGGCAAACTATCTGTGTTATCAGGTTAACGTACATACATATCATTTGGTACATGCAACGTGAAATACACACGCAGTATAAGGTGTGAATTCTAGTCTGTTTCATATCTCAAGCATATCTATCGATTCAATCAACATTTACTTTTAGTAGCTTGCATTATACTCAGGTAGTTCTCCTTGATTTTCGCGCTTTCGGACCGAGAGGATGCGCGGGGGCTGGGTTGTTGGCTGAGAGCAGAGGCAGACAAAAAACAAAGACAGAAATTTAGTTCAACATGGATTCTATTTCGAATAGTAGCTTCAGTCGATATGATAGAAGAAAGCAAATATGGACCGGTATGTATACGTATATGCTAAGACGGTTCTGGCTAACTAATGCTCAATTTGGCCGGTCGATAAGGTGAGATATATATTCTTAAAAGTACAGATTGAACGAAATCTTAAGGGAAAATGATGGTTCTTCGTAAGGTAAAATACTGGTAAGGTATATAAAACAAAACACGAAGGAAACGGGCGTTAGACAGAAGAAAATCCGCTATTTTGTGGGCCTATCACACCCAGTAAACGAAGTAGGAAACGTACTAAAATCAGGTTTTGAATGTAAAATTTAGAGATATGAAAAGGGAGGGAGAGAAAAGAAAGATAAGGAGGGAAATGGAAAACTATGGGACATTGAACGCCTCTTTTATGATCCAACAGAACAAAAAGACAAACGATTTGAAAATCACAAATAGAAATGCAGAATTCCTGATTCCACGGGTGGCAAAGTCAATGAAAAAAAGATAACATAAAAAGTGAGAGAATAGCCTATCATATCAAGATTAGGAAAGAAAGGTGGACATGATGGAAGAGTCATCGTTTTATTAGGTGCGTGGTATCTCATATTGTTAATATACGCAATGAAAATTGTCACAAGGTGCAAATGTTCCATTTCTCGGGTACTTGAGCGTTGGACGGTAAATAGGGGCGTGGCTGAGCCGTTGCAGCAGATGATAAGAAGAATTCACATGCTTGTTTTAGAACAGTTTAGGAAAAGGCAGTCAATCGATGCCCTCTCACGTGATTTCTGGTTTTTCGTAAGTCTAGACATAATAGCTGATTAGATTAGAGGATGTGAGGGCTAACTTGACGATGGTCTTATCGGCGGACATCCCATGACAATGCACTGGCAATAATCGACCTTATTGGGTGAAATGTCAAGACGGGAATCGCGATTTTGCCTCAAGATTCTTCCTTCAAACCACACAAGTCGGTTCCAAGAAGCTTATCGACCATATACCAGAAGCGCCAATAGGCTCCTGACTTGTCGTGATCGAATGATCCATCTTCGCGAAGAACAGGCCCATCACCAACAATGTCACCCGTAAACCAACTTAATATGGGAATAGATCGAAGTACACGTTCAACCACAGTGGGTTGAGGAGGGAGGGCTTCGGATATTGGTCGCAAAACAGCACGACGAACAGTAGGAATATGGGTCATGAATTCGGACTCTGGCTTTGGCTCAGATCTAGGTTTGGATTGAGTTTGAGTTTGCCGTTGACGTAGAGTGTTGCTTGCCGCTGGGTCAATGGCTGTGGCAGAGCTGGTCGTGGTCGATGATCTCTGAGAAGTAACAGAGTCATCTACAATTCCATTGTTCGGGATAGTAGGGGAAGAAAAGGGTCGAGGGAGGTTGGTTCGGTCGACATCAGCGGATTGAAAGAATATATTGGATTGAGACGAATTCAAGGTATGTGATTTTAGCTGCGGTCCAACAAGTTCGGTGGAGTCTTTAGGAATTGGAGCATCATGCTGCGGCCCATGCCCATGGTATGGTTCACAGAAGATCATGAACCCATCGATTTCTTGTGGGGAGAAGAAGCAGGCACGGTCAGCAGCGGCAGCGGAGTCAAAGGTGACTTTTATCCAATGAAATCCTCCAGCATATCTCTTTGCTTTCTTGTTGGCATCAGATGACAGATTCGGATGAATAACAACGTCACCGCCGCTTAGAAGTCGTGGGTACTTTGGTGCCAACTCAGGGTCGGTTCTTGGGTAGTCCTCGCATATCATGCCTTGAGATATCCGTTCAAATTTGTCAATGACTTTCCACTCGCTTTCTTTGTTCTTGTACCCATAGAGAATACATTCAGTTGCAACCTTCTCAATAGATTTTCGGGGTGAATCTGTAGAGTTGGAAGTTGAGGCTGGTAGGTGTTTCGATAGGTTTTGCTCCTGTTCCTGTTGCTGTGCAAACAGTTTGCCGAACTCCGCTACATTCGGGTTTTCCTTTCTGGCGGGTGTTCCCGTTCTAGTTCCAGATCGAGTTGAATTATAACGGGCATTGCGTCTTTTTCCAAAAGGCCCACTCTCTTCAGGGGGACGCCGTGGATTCCTTGCCTCGCTGGCAAGAGAAGGCAGGTTAGCTTTGGTGTATAGTTTGGGGTGAAAGGTTGTGGATATTTGAGAAATAAACAAAGATGATGACGCAAAACGTTAAGATAGTCATCCATGTAGCTCAAGTAAACTCGAGAAAACATAGCATCGGGAGTGACACGAGCGTGCAGAGCAGGCAGTAAACAACATACTCTTTGTAAACATATCCCCACGGGAGGACATTCCCTTTTTCGTCTCTGGCACGTTCTTCGAGCGGGACTGCATGATACTCCATGGCAAAGGGGGCACAAATATGAAAGAAAGGATGAAGAGACGTAAGGGTGACGGCGATCAACGAGCTGTGTAGTCGAGTAGAATGAAAGCGATATTTACTGTTTCCAAAGCATCAACTCATCTAGTTGATTTCAGTTGTTGATTCGAGAGGGAAGTTTGATGTTTATATCACGTGCGAGTTAATTTTCAATCTCGTGAGTGTAGTTAACTGCCAAGAAATTCATATCAAAGATCAACGACGATTTAGTTCTATCGACGACATTCATGAACATCATCATCAATGTAACTAGAGTATTGCAGAATCAAGCTTTAGTTGGATCGAAATCCATTTTGCAATCCATTTCAGGACATTGTCTAATGTACCAGATCAATTTTCTGCACCCTCTCGGGTAGATTTTCAATATCAATTATCCAATGGGAGTCCCTCATCAATGTTACGTAGCGACATAATCCTGTGCAAAATAGGTAGCAGTAGACCATCATTTTACACTGCAGAGCTGGATGTGGGTGCTAATGGAATTCTATTAAAGCAAAAACATTATGGGAATTTCCACTGGCATTTTACCCTTGCGTACAGAGATTATGATTCTCACTTGATATAACTTCTTGCAATGTGAGTGAGGAACAAATAAGACTCGGGGGTGGTGGGGTAGGAAAAGTAAATGATAAAGAGGAACAAGAAGAAATAGTATAAGGGAGGAGGAAGCAATACATATTCAAGCAGCGTTGACTTTACCTGTTCATGTTCAAAAGCTATGAAACAGGAATTAGTAAAAGAAATAGAATACAGACAAATCAAGCATCTATTCTCCACCAGCATAATAATCATACACATGCTTTCTACAAGCAACGAAGGAAGTATAACCGAGTCGAAGATATAAAACACGGTGTACACATAATTGTATCGAACCCCCCTCAAGCCCACCCTTTAACCTCCTCCTCCGCCCACTTCCACAACTCCTCCCCAAGCGCTTTATCATTCGCAAACCAATTCCTGGCCTGAACCCCGACAGGCTCATAATACGCTCCGTTTTTCAACACCCCCTTCTCAACCCCAGCGGCCCATAAGTGATTAAGCGCCCCATCTTTCTCCCCTGTCAAAAACGGACCCAATGCCGCCATCCCATACCTTACAATTGGATTGCGGGTTTTGGATGATGAGTAGAGATTTGTATCGATCACACCGGGGTGCACGGATACAGCTGTGATATCCGGATAGAGACGGGCTAGTTGGGCTGCGAGAACGACGTTGCCGGCCTTGGAAGTTCCGTAGCGTGTCCAAGTGTTTGCGGATAAGAGCTTTTGTGTGGACGTCATGTTTTCAAGGGGATTGGATGCTGGAGCCAGCTGCCAGGCTAGGGATGAGATGGATATTACACGCACGTCTGCTGTTTGTTGTTGTGGGGAAAGGGGCATTTTCACAGTCTCGAGAAGGGTGGGCAATAGGAGCTTTGTAAGGAGGAAGTGGCCGAGGAAGTTTGTGCCGAAATGGATCTCGTAGCCATCCTCTGTGGTGTACGGGGGTAACCCCATTACGCCAGCGTTGAGGATTAGAGTGTCGAGACGGTGGTTGTCGGATTTGAAGGTGGAGGCGGCAGCGCGGATGGATTGGAATGATGAGAGGTCCAGGGGGAGGAAGCGGATGTCAATGGTTGAGGATTGTTCGGTGTTGAAGGAGGATTTTATGTCTGCTATTGCGCTGAGAGCCTTGGCTTCGTTTCGAGATGCGAGGTAGATGCGAGATGGATTGTGTTTGGCCAGTTCGAGGATGGTTTCTCTCCCAAGACCAGAGTTTCCTGACGACATGGTTAGCTTTGGTTACAGCAAAGGGCAGCAGCATGGATCCAACGTTTATAATTAAGGGATCTATATAGAACACCACACTTACCGCCAGTGACGAGTATAACTTTCCCCCCTAAATCTCCAATATCTTTTTCGGGCGTAAACATTTCCTTACCCAGGATTTTTGACACTTTCCGGCTTATCGTTGATGTGACATACGCCAGATTCTCCTTCGGATAGTGTAAAAGCCCAGTAACAAAGCGGGTCAGGGCTAGTGATTCCTGTAATGAAGTACTTGAAGTGTTTATTTCCGCACCAGCGGTTGCAGAAGTCGCTAAAGCTGACGGTCCAGTTGTAGCTTTTTGAGGCATGGCCTCCTCATTGCTGTCTTTAGACCGCGACGCGGGAGTGGACATTACGTTATTGGATTCTTGAAGATCGCACCTTAGTGAATATTGTCTTGTTTGACGCGATTCGAATTGCTATTTTCGTAGATAGGTATCCCTAATCTGATTGATAGCTCTATACTTCAAGCGCTTCGGTTCCGTATCTTTCTTCTAAAAATATATATCACGAACGCAGAAGTGAAAGGGACAAATCGGCAGAATACTGCGGCTCCATTCCCCTTCCTATTCATATAATGACAGGGTAGTTGGAAATCGCCCGTGCAATGAGAAAAGACAAGTAAATTCAATACATGAAAAGTGAAGATTTTGTGGATGCTCCGAACGTATGTGAAAGTGGAAAAGGAACGAGATAGCTGTGGAGCTGCTCATAGCGAGGTAAACAGTATTCCAGCAACTTGAATCTAGAGAAGGATAAATATAGAAATCCAACCAACAACATATCTTTAATATGCTGCTTGTTATTGATGGTTGATGTTGATCATATCTAACCGCTTTTGTTGCAGTGATTCCAAGGTTTCGCGATTTCTGCAAGCTGGTTAAAGTTAAGATAAACCACTCATGAACTTCGCCAACAACCCCCCTCATCAAGTAAATATTTCAACATAATCCACTACCATTGTTATTCTAAGTAAAAAGTCTGAAATAATTTTCGATTAAGAATTCACATTACGACAGATTTTTAAGTATTATACTCAAATCTGTAAGAAATTTATTTATTATTATATTATTACTCTTTCTTATTTGTATATAATCGTGCCGCTGCGCAACCCACACCTCATGTGGGTGCACCACACCAAAATGATAAAAATACTGAAATGATAAAAATCTTGAATCACACCCTCATTATTGCACTCTATATCAACAACCAGTAGCTAATCTATAATAAAAAGATTATCTACATCATTCTCAGTATATGTGTCATTTTTAAATCAATTTAATTTCTTTTCTGTCAGTGATGTGAATGAGTTATTATCAATTTTCATGGAATCAACTTCAAGTCTCTGTCACTTCTTATTCTGTTCTTTTTCAGCTTCATTATTCTTATACTGCTTGATTTTTCTATTGACATCTTTAATAGTGAGGACTTCCTCTACTTGAATTTAATGATGAATTGTTTTAGCTCTGCAGTGTTTACTGACATTGAGAAAGTTCTCTAATTCAGTAATTTATTGCTTATTAAGTTCTATGTTAATTAGACTTGCTTTGAATATCTTGTTTAAACAACATATCAAGATGAGTGATTTCAAATCAAGAGTATCTCTAATACTTTGTATGGTGTTTTCCACAATATTAATATGACATTTCAGCTTTTGAATTATTTTTGATGAGAATAGCTAAGAGAAAGAGATAAATATATGATATAAATCATTCTCATCTTCATAAATCTGCAGTAGAGAAGGTGATGAGATTCACTGCTTAAGAGTGTCAAAAACTCAGTCAAAATTTCATGAATATATATCATGTTGAGCTCATTTTGCAGCTATTGTATCAGATTTAAAGATCTGCTTTTGCATAGCTGAGAGGTCTTGTAGAAATTGTCATTTTTCATACTTAACAAATCATAATGTGCAGCATAGTTGACTGCTTTTCAATGATAATACTTATATTACTGAAATGATAGACTATTCAGAAATTGTAACAAATGAGTAGCATGTGATGAAAATTTATATAAAATTATCTTATGAAGATTTATATATTATATAAACTTCTCAGTAATATGAGATTTATGATTATTTATTAAAAGTAATTGATGACTTTCTTTCTATTTCTTTTCTATAGCAGTATTGAAATGTTTAAGCTATTCAAATTTAATCTCATTATTTGTAAATCTAGTGTTTGATATAGCAATTCTATAATTACTAAGCAAATCTATCTATGTATATCAATTTTTTAAATGTGTTTTGAAGGCCAAGATTATCAATGATAGAATGATATAATTATTTATAAATATACATTCAATGACTGTAATTAAATCTCTTAAAAAGAATAATGAAATAATGAAATTAGCTTTTTTAAAAGCAGTTATAACTTATTCTCCATATTCTTATCCTTTTTGAAATTCAATCTCATCAAAGTTATATATATCATAGATGTGAAATTGATACTATTCAAATAGAATCTGAAGACATTTAAATCATGTATTGATGTATTCAATATTTTCAACTATCACTCTCTTTGAATACATTGACTTCTGTTTTACTCTCTTATACTTAGATAGATGTTCAATAAATCTATAAGTTCACATCTTGCTAACTTTTGAAGAAGAGATAGTAGAATCTATGTGCTGATATCTGAGTATTGAATTTGCAAATTTTCAATATGTTTGACTGTGAGAGAATAATTCTTTTCATTAAACAGCTTGATTTATTGTTTAATTGCATTCTTTTGACTCTCATTTAATCTTTTATTAACTGAAATCTTTGCAGTATTCAGATTTCTTTCATTAATATACACTCAGAGATATTGATAAAAAATCTTAAATTTTTATGACAAAGACAGTATTTTAAAATTTAAGTTTTTTTGATAGTAAGTAATAGCTTTTTGAATATAGTCTTCAATATTTTTATTCTTATTTGACATTATAATGAGTTATTAATTGATGAAGATGATAAAGATGATGAAATTGTAAGATTTTTATCATTTCAGTGTTTTTATCATTTTGATGTGATGCACTCATATGAGGTGTAAGTTGTGCAGCAGCATAATTAGTTAGTTATTAGATTTCTTTTATTTAATTATACATGTATTTCATTTTACATTGTTGAACTTATCATGATTACTAACTAATCATGCTGCTGTGCAACTCATATCTCATGTGAGTGCATCACATCAAAATGATAAAAACACCTCGCCTAAATGGAAAAAACCGAAGATCGATCACCTTAACATCTTCCCCAGTATAACTTTTCTCCA